TTAATTAACGCTAATATTAGGGAGGATAAGAGAATATAGAAGTTTATTAGAAAGTTTAATCTAGGATATAGTATAGTAGCTCTAAAAGGGAGCTAAAATAATAGTGTATAGTAAGGTGCTAATAGTAGCTAAGATAGCTAGACTTTAAGCAGTAAATAAAGCAGCTTCTAAGTATAAAATATATAAAAATAAGTAGATCTAGCTATTAAGGTTATACTTTAAGCAAAGCTTATAAGCACTATTTAATTAGTTCTTAGATATAAATACTATTAGGGAAACTAAAGGGGTCTTACACTAAGAAGTATAGATATAATCTGTCTATCTTAAGGGCAAGAAGTAATAATAAGTAGTATAGAGTAGACTATCTAGCTTAAAAGTTAGGTTAAGATCTAATATTATAGATTAATACTTAGGTTAAATATAAACTATAAGGGTTATATTTCTATATACTATATACTTAAGCTATCTTAGAGAATCTTATAGTCTTATAGGACTCTATTCTAAAGTCTTATAGGATTCTTATAGGACGCTAGTATTTATCTTATAAATCCTATAGCTTGCTTAGCTTTTATCTTATAAGACGCTTTACCCTTTTAGTACTAGCATCTTATATATAGCATGCTATTATTACCTATAGAGTAATAGCCTTCCTAGCAGTTATTATACTACCTTATAATATTTATTTATAAAACCTAGTATTTTCTTCCTTAGGATTTATATTTATAATACTAGTATAGTAGAACCCTATCTTAGTAAGAAGTAGAGAAGATAGTTAAGCATAGAGATGCTAATATACTAGTTAAGGCTAAGAGGTATAAGGAGAGAATATAAATAGGTAGTAGTAAATATAGTTCTTAATACTATAAGAGGTATAGTAAGATAGGGCATAATAAGCATATATATAAGAAAGATACTATAGACTAAGTAGATTAATTTAATATACTATAGGCTATAGTATAATATTATAGTGTTAAGTTATAGTATTATAAAGGTCTAAGGCTTAAAAAGGTAAGCAACTTACTTATCTAAGTAACTTACTTACTACTTATATTAGCTTAATTTTAGTAATAACAAAGTATAGGTAAACACTATACTATATAGTTTAGCTCTCTTCTTAATTATTATTATTTTCCTATACTAAACTATCTATATATAGAAATTCTACTAAGTTATAGAGTATAATATACTAGATAGGTAAGTTAACTAAATAGATAAGTTAATTACTCTACTAAGACCCTACTAAAACTTAACTCTCTTATATAATGCTATAATAATAACATAAATTAGGACCTTTAAAAAAAGCTAGGATATAGCTTATACTTTAGGCTATTAAATAAGACATAATAATCTCTCTATAACGCACTATATTCCTCTATAATACGTCTTATATAATACTATATAATTAATATACTAGATAACCTATATAAGCTAATTATATGCCTAAATTAAGAAACTTACATAAGAATAAGGAGAAAGTAATTATTTAGTATATACTTAACCTAGATATAAGAGAGTTTACCCTCTAGCTAGTAGTAGTAGCTAATATAGCTAATTCTTTGCGCAAAGAGTATAATCTAGGCTATATTAGCATAAAATAGCCTAATACGTTTATTAAGTGCTGCCCTAAGCTCTAAGTAAGGTTTAATTATAAGTATAACTATAAGTAAGCCCTCTATAAGGATCTAGAGATTATATAAGGCTAGTTCTACCTTATAGAGAATACTAAAGCTAAGTATAGTATCTAGAACTAAGACATATATAACTTTAATAAAACTAGGTTTATAATAGGCTAGATATTAATAAGAGTAGTTATTATAGGCTTAAAGCATTAAGAGTAGCTAAAGGCAGTTTAATAGGGCAACTAGGAGTAGATAATAGCTATCTAGGGCGTAAATAGTATAGAATAGGCTATTCTACCCTTTATTATCTTTTAAGGCTATAACTACCTCTCTACCTAGTATAAAGAGAATATAATACCTTATAACTAGGTTATTATAGTCTCTAAAAATAGCTAGACTATAAATAAGCTTAGATTCTAGTAGCTATAGCACTTTAAAGCATATATAAAGAGGCGTGCTATAGAAGAGTACTAACTACTAATTATTAATAGCTATAAGAGCTAACATACCTTATAGGTAAGCTAATTACCTAGGTAAGCTAATTACTTTTACTAAGACTATACTAAACTTTATATAACTTATAATACTATAGTAGCAACTTATATTCTACTATAGGTTATAGTATATAGAATTACTAAGAAATACCTTATATATTATTCTTATATATTTGCGCATTATGCCCTACTTTACTATATATGCTATAGTATTATAAAGACTAAGTGCCTAGTTTAACGCGCCTCTTCTTGCTTATCTTCTTCCTATTACTATAGGCTTTAAACTTATTTAGAGTAGTTAAGCACACTCCTTTACTAATAGTAAGAATCTCTTCCCTCTAGATCTACTTCTTCTTATATAATTTATAGCGCATAGTAGCCTTATTAGTAGCTTAAAGCTCTATAACCTAGTTGCACACTAAAACTAGTAAATATACTATTATTTCTATACCTTTAGTAAGCTAATTAAGAGCATTAACTATTAAAGTTAGTAAGCTATTTCTATATTACTAAATCCTCTCTTAAATTAGCTTTAATTATAACCTAAATTCTAGAGTATTCTATAGGGTTTAAGAGTGCTATATACTTTTATCTATAGTAGGTAGTAGTAGAGTATATAGGCATACTTTAAGCTTTAATAACATAGCCTCTAGATTAAAGGGGACTAAGCTAGCGCCTCTAAATCCTCTCTAGATATTACTTCTAGTAATAGAGGCATTAAAAGCTCCTTTAAAGTATAGTAAGAATTTAAGTTTTATAATATAAGTAATCTTGCTATATATTAGTAGCTTAGCTTAGCAACTATATACCTTCTTTATTAGGGTAAAATAACCTATATTAAGTAGCTATAGTAGGTGCAATAAGTATAGAGGTATATATAAGGTAATAATCTTATATTCTTTATAATATTAGTAGAAATTAACTAAGTTATAGCTCTTATAGCTATCTAGAATAAGCAGCTAATAGCTACTAACAGTGCGCTCCTTTATATGCTTATTAAAGTGCTTTAGCTACTTAATACTAAGCTTATTATTAGTCTAGCTATTCTTAGAGATAGTAATAACCTAGTTATAAGGTATAGATAGCTCCTTATACTAAGTAGAGAGGTAGTGCTTGCCTTAGAAGATAATAAAGGATAGAATAACCTACCCTAATGCATTAATACCCTAGATAATACTAGTCTACTCTTAGTTACCCTATTATACTATCTTTAGCCTTCCTTAACACTTAGAGCCTATAATAATAGCTTCTATAGATATAACACCTATTATAAACCTAGACTTATTAAAGTTATAAGTATCTTTATCTAGAATACTATACTTAGCTTTAGTATTCTCTACTAGGTAGAACTAGCTCTAGATTACCTTAGGATCCTTGCAGAGGGCTCTCTTATAGTTATACTTTTAATTAAACTTAACCTTAAGCTCTAGGTAACACTTAATAAACGTGCTAGCCTAGTTCTTGCTAATAGAAGGCTAGTTATATTTAGTAAGTAGAGAGTTAGCTATATCCTCTATATTAGTAAGCTAGGGCAGGTATCCTTGCTTATCTAGCTTTAGAACATGCTAAATAATTACCTCCTCTTTAGTGCTTATTAGTTTTATTAATTTAGGCTTATAATTATATTATAGAGAGGCTCTAGCAAGGCGTGTACTAAGCGTGCTTTAAGAGATTTTATAGATAGCTGCAGCGCGTTGCTAGAAGAGTGTTGCGTCTTGTTAGATAGCCTAGATAGCAAGCTATATATTTGCTTTATTTAAGAGCTTTTTTATAAGCTTATATTAAGCTATTGCAAGTTATATAAAGTTTAGTATAGTCTTAGCAAAAGTAATTAGCTTACCTAGGTAATTAGCTTACCTATAAGGTATATTATAACTCTCTCTAATTCTAACAATACTATAAGAAAAGAAAGATTATTATACTCTATATGCTTCTATACTTATTACACCTCCTATAGCTACTTAATATAGGTTGTTTTGCACTATTAAAGAAGGTATATAGGTGCTAAGCTAAAGATCTTATATATAACTAGATTACCTATATCTTAAAACTTAAGTTTCTGCTATACTTTAAATGCGCATATAATATAGTAATAACTCCTAGTAATATTTAAGGAGGATTTAGAGGCACTAGATTAGTTCTATTTAACCCTAAACAGGTTATAATAGGCCTTAACGTTTAACTACGCACCCTATTACTACTTCCTATCTCTAACAAGTTCTAGCAGTCCTATATACTCTAGAACATACTAGAATTTAGGTCTTAATTAAAGCTAATTTAAGAGAGGATTTAAAAGCATATAGATAGCTTACCTTCCTCTATTATAAATGCGCTAGAAAAGCTCTTTAAAGGTGCTAAGATAATAGCGTATTTGCTAGTATTAGTGCGCAAGCAGGTTTCTAAGCTTTAAGATACTAATAAGGCTATAACATAATATAAATTATATAAAAGAAAGCATTTATAGCTAGAGGGGACTCTAATAGTTAAAGAGAGGGTATAATTAAATACTCTAGAGGAGTTTGCTGCGTGTAGTAATAGAAAACATACAAAGAAGATAGTGCGCACTAATAAAGGTTAACAGACTATAAGACGCTATAAATAGTGCTAGGAGATAGGGCATAACTTGCGCATATGTTAAAAAAGATTGTAGATAGCTCTTCTATACTGCAACATGTTAAATTACTATTTGCAGGCCTATAACAGGGTGTTGTAGGCCAAAATAGGGTTAAGTTTTAGTAGGGTCTTAGCAGAGTGATCAACTCACCCGTCCGGTCAACTCACCTATCTAGTACGTTATCTTGTTAATGCAGGATGTAGTAGGATGCTGTTTGTACTACATTTTACTAACAACTTGCATCTAGCGTTATTGTATCGCACTAAGTTACAGGGTGTACGTTAGCTAACGTTTTGCAAAAAGTAATAACTAACATTTTTAGCGCAGCTCCTTGTAGCTAAAAATTAAAATATCCACACATCGTACTTTGTCATTAAATCCACCCAGTCGCGAGATGTCTGACCATCCCAGTACATCTGCAGGTAATTTAGGGCTGTAAGCACGTTGGCAAACCCAAGACGTTCATACTTTTTGTGTAGCACGTTAGAGAAATACATCTGGTCTTTAACGGTAACGCTCTCGCACGCAGCAATGAAGACTGAGAATACAAAAGTGTTAGAATCAACAAGGCAGTGGTCTGGTATGCTTTCAAGTGTTGCGCGGAACTTCAGCAGTGGTTGTGTAGAGTCACCAGTTCGCACGCCAAGCCTCAGTCGTGTTATGTACATCTCGCAAGCTTGAGCGCTGAGATCATAGACGTTAGACAGTACGTGATGAAGCTCGGGATGCAGCTCGCAGCAGGTAGTGAACTCCTCCCATCCTTTCGATATTGAGGGTCTGATCGGAGTCGTTAAGCGAAGAATTGCCAACCCCTGATGGCGGCTCAAGTAAGGAGCGGCATATCCACGGAATCTGAGTTTTGGTTAGTATTGCTTTTCTTGATTCTTGTGAGTCAACTTGCTTCTCGATCTGAGTACACAGAAAGGGGCCTAAAGACCCTGTGCCCAGGATGTTGTCTTCCTGCGTGATGCTAAGAAATACCTCGATCAGATGGAAGATTCTGCGGAAGTCAGGGAGACCGTTTACTATCGCTGTGGCCAGGAGAAGAAGCAATGCTACTAAGATTCCCTGTTTGGCTGTCGTGTCGTGAGCTAAGAGCTCTTGCTTCTCTCGCAAACCTTGAAGGACACATTGATAAGCAGAATACGGCTTTGTGCTTCGCCGACCTGCCCGTGTTGCTAAGTAGCAAACAGATGCCGCGCATACGGCAGACTTGACAAGGTCATCACAATAAGCGAGCGGAAGGACCGAGAGGCGCCATTGGTTGTAGTCATCGTCAATGACAACGAACTTGGAAGCTATTTCCTCAGAAACTGTTTTAGTTAGCACTATCCTTATTTGATTGAAACTACTTACAACAGCGGAAGAGGCACTGGTCATTTGCGTTAAGCAAGCCATTTGAGAGCTGCAAGTGTTCATGACGATGAACGCGGTGTTCGCGCGACAATGTTGGCGGAGATTCTTGTTCTCTTTTGGATAACAGCGCCGCATCTTTCCAATCCTCTTTGCGCCTCGGCATCCGACCCTCACTGCCAGAACGATGGCTCTCGATACCCCAAGGGTGGATTCTCAAGCCGCCAGGGGCTTTTCCCTGCGCAATGAGATCATCTGCAAACCGATACCTGGTTTTGCTATATCCACTACAATCGAGACCTCTGAAGCTACATTTGCGGCAGAAAGGTTCAGTCAAATCACAGCTGACTCTTCGTTGCGAGCATTGATGACATCCTGCAGACAGTCAGACATCAGAAAGCGTACATCAGTGCCGTGGGTTTACCTTTGACCCGCGCAGCGTACATTCGCTTCTTGTGGGAGTACATGGAGATGCGCAATTGTCAGGCTGCTGAGGGGTTGCGATTGCCGAGTGTTCAACTCAGAGTCGAGCCGGCGGATCTGCTCAGATGACTGACAAGACTCGGTTTTGCTGCCGTCCAGCAAAAAAGTAAGATGAGCGTCACGTCAGGACCCAATAGCATGTTCGGTAAAGAGCAGCGAAGAGCATAAGCAGCACGATGCGCTTGACGCTCGCGCTGAAGCCTCATCGCCCCGCACGGAAGCGGGGTAGCTTGGCGGTTTCGGCTGCTCCAGTGAGTGGCAAACACATAATGTCCGGCTTCCAATAACCGAAACAACGATCACAAACATCTGTGTGGAATTTGAAAGGAAGACGCGCAATAGAAATGTTTCCATATTCCCATCAGTGCAGCTTCCCCTTGAGTCTTAAGCTGGACGCTTGTGGCATGGCCCGGCGTCTGCAATGCCACCATTGCCCCTTTTGCGTTCCATCTCCGAGTGCCGTTGTCTTGAATTGACAGCGCGAAGACTGGGTACTTTCAAACATGATGTAGCAGCGCCGAGACGAAGCCTAAGAGTCACGAGCGTACCTCCTTGTTCATTTTGGGGAACTCTAATGAGCACACCGTTCCCGCGAATCGCCTCGACATCACCGATACGACGCGGGTGGTTTTTTCTCTACCTAACCAGCCCGACAATGACTCGGTACTTTCGAAAAATGATGTAGCAGCGCCGATACGAAGCCTAGAGGTCACTAGCGTACCTCTTTGTCCATTTTGGGAAACTCCACTGAGCACACTGTTCCCGCGAATCGCTTTAACATCAGCGATGCGACGCGGGTGTTTTTCTCTTATCTAGCAATCCTAAACCGTCGGTCCAATGCGACCCAACATTAGCCCCATGTCTTTGGGCATTGATAGCCGGGATGCCACACAATGCGAACCTTCGAAGAGCGCGTTTGAACCAATCAGCGTGAGCAACCTGCAAGACCTAGGCATCTGGTCTGTCATCAGGCAGATTTTCAAGTAAAAGATCAAATTTCGATGATAAGAGGCTTGCGCAAGCCAGCTGCCGGCTCAGCCGACAATAAGACCCTCGCTACAGTTGAGGTAAGTCCGATGAGCTCTTTGGAGGGGCCACGATAGTCACACTTGTAGTATTTCGCCAACTGACAAATGCGAACCCCGGTCGACCTATGAGTGGTGAGAAAGAAGTATATATACACTGCGTGAGCACATCTTGTAGAGCCAACGAAGCACTTCTTTTTACACTACATTCCAATATCCATATCTTTGAGTCCTATATCGAAAGGATACCATGGCTCCCAAGACCAAATCTCACGGTCCGACATGTTCCAGTCCCTACACAGATGGCAAAATAGAGCCTATCCGAGCATTACCTGCGAGCTGGTATGTATCTGATGAAATGTACCAGCTCGAAAGGCGTGGGATATTTAGCAAGAAATGGATGTTGGTGACTCACGAGTGCCGGTTTTCTAACCTGGGAGACTGGATAAAGTTCGAGATCGCTGGATACGAGTATGTCATCACGAAAGACCGAAAAGGCCAATTTAATGCTTTTCACAACACCTGTCGTCACCGAGGCTATCCGATTGTCGATGCTGGATCCGGCCGTAACCAAATACTGTCATGCAAGTATCATGGATGGTCCTACAGCATGGATGGGAAGCTTACAAAAGCGCCTTGGTACGACAATGTAGAGAACTTCAACATAAACGAAAACAGTTTGTTCAAGATCCATCTGAAGAAAGATGCTCTTGGCTTCATCTGGGTCAATTTGGACTCGTCGGACGATCCTGAGCCATGGGAGAAAGAATTCGATGGGATCGATACCCAAGAACGATACGACGGCTACGACATGAGCGTATACGTATTTGATCACGAGTTCGAAATTGACGCGTCAACCAACTGGAAGCTTTGCTCTGACAATTTCAACGAGTGCTACCACTGCCCAACGTCGCATCCTACCATCCCAACTTTGTTCGATCTCGATACTCTAACTTTAGATGCGAAAGATGGGTATGTGATCTCCAGCTCCAAACAAGACGAAGAGCAAAAGAGAGAAGGTCTTCAGATCTGCACCACCTACTATTTTCCAAATGTCTCTACAAATATCTTGTAAGTGCTCAAATACCTGCCTCGCAAACGACATTGACTGACTACACTCAGACCCAACTACATCATGCTGCAAAGGTTCTTACCGATCAGTGCACACCAGACCAAGATGCATTATCAGATCTTTCGAAACAAGAACGCAAAACAAGAACACTTCGACAAGATCAACGTTCTTTACAAACAGGTCATGAATGAAGACAAGGGACTGGCAAATGGTGTACAGAAGAACATGGAGCGCGGACATTTCGTCAATGGTCAGATGAATCCATTTATTGAAAGTCCGGTGATCCATCAGCAAGCAAAGATGCGGGAGGCTGTTAAGGAGCATGCGGCTATGGAAAAGGCAGCAGGTCGTCAAATTTGGCCTGTGCAACAGCCTCCAAACTCAGACACAGTTAGCAAGGAGGATGATGAATTCTGCGCAGGTCTCTCATGCGCCTCTGGTCAGCAGAGTGCACTGGTATGGTAACAAAACCTTCGAAGTATTCCGAACTGAATGTAGTCCGTCAAATGTTTCTATCTATCCGTTTCACTTCTTTCTTTGCGCTGAATATTAGGTGCTGCTCACCAGCAGTAGAGATCCAAGTCATTAATCTGAACACACCGCCGGAGACTAGCACAGGTTCTAACCAGAGGTGATGTCACCGTTGGAATGCGCCTATCGATCAACTATATAGCTGCTGGGGGATAGCATAACGATTATAGCACCAGATTCTGCTGGGTCTGGGGTGTAAAACGTGTAATTAGAGCCAGAGCTCCTCTACAGACTCTATTCAAGACACTTGTTCTTGTATCATGACTTTGGGATGCAACTCGCACGTTGCTCCTATACCCCGCTTACGCGTTTGATTCGAGGGACAACAACGCTCACATAAGACGGAGTCATTCGACGTATTGTGTAACTTATTAAGCCATTGATCGCACCGTCTCAAACCACATGGCTATCGATCAGGTGTTGTTGACCCACCCCGATTTGTTGCTTGAATGCTCAGGTGTCAAATGAAAGCTTGGGATGCACATTTTGGAAAGGCTCGGTCATTATGCAATATGGAAGAGTGAAGGGTTGCGAAGATTTAGTGGTTGGAGTGGTCTTGATGTAAGAACAATTCAAGCCATACTCACCTTGGACAGAGGAATGATTGCAGGATCTTTCAGTTGTGGAACATTCCATCTGGAGATGGTCATGTAATCACTAAGTCCCATAGAAGCGCGTATGTTCACGCCCAAGCTCACACTACGCTGTTACCACAGTACCAATGCTATGATTTTTAGCTAAAAAGGGACTTTATCCTATGCAAAAGCTACCGCATCTGGTGTTTCACACTGCAAATTTAGATGTCTAGCCTTATTTCCGGTGTATTTCACCAAAATTTCAGTGTATTTTACCGAATAAGCATTTTTTCTGTGCTGATAACACCCGATTCGGTGTTTCTTACACGATCTTGGACCGTAGTGTGTGTTATGTAGGGATTAATGTTGAGTGGTTAAATTGCCAGTAGCGAGGCCCGCTCCACTTAAAGCTTCTGACCGATTTCTGACCTCATTTATTATAGTGCACGGATATGTCATCACACTTATTACAGTCTGAGATTACTCAATTCCTAACGTTCACGCCGGCAAGGGCGTCACTTCCCTTAGCATCGAAGCGCTTACATTCACACCCATGGGTGGTTATACACATCTCACGCACCACTGTACCTTGATGTCCCCTCTTGCATTTCGAGAAACTGGTAGTCGTTCAGATAGCTTGTTAAACCTTCCGGGTCGCCCGACCGATCCGCAACAGTCCATCCATTGCCAAACCACCCAAAACTGTTTCCGTCAACATACTCCATCTCAAAATCTTCCCAGTGCACAAATTGTAGTGCTTTCATAGCGTGCACACTACTTCCAGGCCACAGCGCCGTAACGCGACCACGCATACGCTGCTCGACTGATGAGCCTGGCGGCGCTGTCTTGTACCAGCTCACACAGTCTGCTGTGTACACAGTGCGCTTAAAGTACTCGTCGCAGTATGCCGTGAACTTGTCCACAGGGCCTCTCTTTGGTTCCACAATCTTGACATTGCCTTTTGAGAGGCGCTCCAGTACTTGTGCGATGTAGGTATGAATAACCTCGATCATCACAAGCAAGCTTCCGGCTCCTTGGAACGAGTTCGGACCGAGCGATTGAAAGAAGTTGGGAAAACCGTCTGTACAGAGGCCTAGGTAGGACCGCGGATAATCGCTGTACTTTTGACGGAGGTTCAGGCCGTCACGGCCGTATATGGGGAAGCCAGAAGATACCGACGTGTCGAAGCCGGTCGCGCAAACGATCGCGTCAACAGATCGGTGCTGGCCATCTTCGGTGATAACGCCGGTTGCATCTATTGATCGAATGGTCGAGGTAATGACGTCTACTTTTGGTAATGCAAGCGCCTCCAAGTAGCCTGGGCCTGGGGTAAGGCGTTTGCAAAGTGGTGGGTATCTGGGAAGGAGTGACTCGATGAGTTTCGGCTTTCCCTTTAACCGCTCTTTCATCATTACTTCAAGCTTTTGTTCGATACCCACACATCGTGGATTATCACGCTCGCTGGTCGCATAGAGTCCCTGAAGTGACAGTTCGAGTTCTTTGCGATAACGAAGGTACACGTCGGGATCTTTCAGCCAAGCTTGCTTCTCCTCTGATGAGTATGAAAAGTTGCCATTCGTGCCTTCGCTTTGACGCTCGCGGACATGGTGCTCGGCGATCTGGTTCGCAATCCAAGTTTTGCCGCGAACATAGTGATCCATCCTAGCAACTTTGGGGACAAGAGCTGGGACAATTTGAATGCCACTGCTGCCTGCACCGATGATAGCCACTGTCTTGCCCTATGAACCATCAGCCTGTTCTTGATCAGAGACTTTAGAATGTGGACCTGCTTACAGTGGAGTCGAAAGACTCGTCCCAATTCGCACTATGCAATAGTGTGCCCCGGAATGTCTCCATCCCTGCAATATCGGGCCACTTCCATTCATTCAAGGTTCCTGTTCCAGTGACCAAAACGTCGGCGCTATCATGCACAAGCTCAGTGGTCCCATCATCTACACTTTTCAGAAGCGTGAGGAACCACTTCGACTCCTTACGGTCCCAACGAGCCTCTACACATCGATGCTGAAACTTGATGTGCTTGTGGATATCGTACTTGCTGGCAACGGTCTGCCAATATGCTAAAATTTCGGGAGCAGAAGCGTAGAATTGACTCCAATGAGTAGATGATTCGAAGCTGAGCTGATATGATAGCGATGGTACGTCTGTGTTTATGGTTTAGTTACAGTCAACAGCATAAAAACCGTGTAATACATACCGCATGCGCATCCTGGGTATCGATTCTCATACCAGGTACCACCAACATCAGGATTCTTCTCGTAGATGACGAGATCTATTCCAGGTACCCTCTTTTGGAACTGAATAGCTCCTACGATGCCTGACACTCCAGCACCAATGTAGATGACCTTCAGTGGTCTTGCTCTGTCGACCTCGCGTTCAGAAATCAGAGGTAAAACAGGTCGCGACCGCTCTGGACTTTCGGGCGTCATCTTGTTTGATAGGAATGGCATGCTTGTGGTGGAAGAATGATAGTAGAGTTGGTGTGAAGCGCACAATCACGATTGATAATTCCCAGGGCGATTTTGGTGCAGTCTGACTTGCGGCTTTATAAGGACTTAGAGAACGCACATCTATTCTGCATTTCGGAATATTTGTGTGTCGGAGAAGAATCGATATCTCTTGTCCATGACTCTTGTTTGGAGGGGCGCAGTAGACCAGCGCCACAAATCGACTGGCTGAGAATTGCGGTTAGATCTCCGCGCTTTGCCGGCACGTGTGACGGATGTCTAACCGTTCAACCTCCATCACCTCGCTAAGGGATTGTAAACATCATTCTCGTCTTGCGATGCTCAAAGAGGAGACCTGACCCGCACCATAATGCACCATTAGATAAACGCTAATTTGCAAGTGGCTGGTCACTATCGATGCAGGTAATGGCAGGTCCTTGCTTTGATACCTAGGTAGCAGATAGGCGCTTTGAGGTCCGTGCTAGCTGAGCCGGCCGACGATGAGTTGCCGAAGCTGTTGAGCGATCGTCATTTTTCTATCATCATCTCATACACCGTTATGGTATGAAAGGTGGCGGTATCCAGGTACCGAGGAAATGTCCGTTCGTTATCTTAGTCAGCGGCACGGTCCTCGGAAGCTTATGGGTGATTCCCGAAATACCCGGTGCACACGTGAGAAGGAGGAAAATTAAACTAAGAAAACAGCCTCTGCGTATCTTAGATACTGTCTCTGTACATTGGCCAAGACTCTAGTGTTTAGCGCCCTTATCAAGACTCAGAATAATACACACAAGGTAACGTACTCCACGGGCGAGTCGGACAACGGGCGAGTTGGACACTTTTGCTAAGCCCCTACCAAACTACCCTTCTTATACTAATGCCTCCTTAACAATACTAGTTAGACGCGTTAAAGGAGGCCTAAATATAGCTTATACTCTAGGCTCTTAAACAAGATATAACTCTCTTTCTATAACACGCTGCTGCTATCTATAGGGTTCCTTAAAGTACACTAAGTAACTAACGCGCTAGATAACCTTTATAAGCTAATTTTATAGCTAACTTATAGAATCTAGACAATAATAAGAAGTAGGTAATTGTTTATTATATACTTAACCTAGTTAAGTAAGGATTCCCCCTATAACTAGCTAATATAGCTACTATAGCTAATTCTTTATATACTAAGCATAATCTAGGCTCTATTAGCATAAACTAGCCTAGTATGTTTATTAGGCGTTAACTAGAGCTTATAGTAAGATTTAACTATAAGTATAACTATAAGAGAGCCCTCTATAAGAATCTAGAGATTATATAAGGCTAGTTCTGCCTTATAGAGAATACTAAAGCAAAGTATAGTATCTTAGATAATAACACCTATAACTTTAATAAGATAGGCTTTATAATAGGCTAAATATCTATAGAAGCTATTATTATAGGTTTAGAACAACGCAGATAGCTAAAGATAGTCTAGCTAGGTAACTAAGAGTAGATAATAGTTATATAGGGTATTAATACTAAAGGGTAGGCTATACTACCCTTTATTATCTTTAAGGCGCGCTATTACCCTTCTACCTAGTATAAAGAGGAGAACTTACCCTAGGATTAAGTTATTATAGTCTCTAAGAATAGCTAGACTACTAATAAGCTTAGTATAGAGTAGTTAAAGTACTTTAATGCGTATATAAAGAAGCGTACTATTAGAACCTACTATCTATTAGTTATTAATAGTTATAAGAGCTATAACTTACTTAACTTCTAGTAATACTATAAGGATAATAAGATTATTACTTTATATATACCTCTATACTTATTATACTTTCTATAGCTACTTAATATAGGCTATTTTACCTCTTTAAAGAAAGTATATAGGCGCTAAGCTAAAGACCTTATATATAGCTAGATTAACTATATTATAAAGACTAAGTTCCTACTATACTTTATATACGCCTATAATACTATAATTACTACTAGTAATATCTAGGAAGAGTTCTAAGGCGCTAGACTAGTCCTATTTAACCTAGAATAGGTTATAAGTAACTTTAATATAAAGCTATATACTCTATTACTATAACTCCCTATTAAAGAAGAGCCCTAGCAGTTATAAACCTTAAGCAATACTCTAGAATTTAGGTTATAATCTACTCTAATTTAAGATAAGTTCTAGAAATACTAGGGTAGCTTACTAAATTCTATAATAAGCGCACTTAAGCATTATATTAAGGGCGTAGTAATAGTTATGCATAAGCTTATACTTATAGAGAAATAGATTACTAAGCTTAAAATAGCTAATAAGGCTGGTATATGCTAGAAATTATATAAGAGAAAGTAAGTCTAGGTAGAAGAGACTCTAATAGTTAAGGATAGCCTATAATTAATAACTCTAAAGGAGTTTAGGGCGTATAGTAATAGGAAGAAAGTAAAGAAGTAAGTGCGCACTAATAGGGCTAAGCTAACCTAAAGGCACTATAGATAGTATAATAAGACTAGATATAATATGCAAATATGCAAGAATAATATAGAAGTAGTCTCTAAGTAATATTATAGGTTATTCTACTCTGCATAGCCCTAAAGCAGGCTAATAGAGGCTATTATAGAGTAAGGTTTAGTAGAGGCTTAGTAAAGGTAAGTTGCTTACCTATTAAGTTATTTGCTTATTAGGTACGTTACTAATATAAGGTTTATATTATTCTATCTAGTCTAATCTATATATAAATAAGAGAGGAGATAAGATAAGAGATTAGAAAGATAATAAGATAAGAGATAGATAATAAGATAGGAGATAGATAATAAGATAAGAGATAAATAATAAGATAAGAGGTAGATAATAAGATAAGAGATAGATAATAAGATAGGGGGTAACATACTCTATAGGTAAGTTAGATAATAGGCAAGTTAGATACTTTTGCTAAGACTATACTAAACCTTACCTTATTATAGCCTAAAATACTATAACCTAGAGCTATATAAAGCAGAATAAGCTATAATATTACTTAGAGACTACTTCTATATTATTCTTGCATATTTATATATTATATCTAGTCTTATTATACTATCTATAGCGCCTTTAGGTTAGCTTAGCTTTATTAGCACGTACTTACTTCTTTACCTTCTTCCTATTACTATATACTCTAAACTCCTTTAGAGTAGTTAATTACTATCTATTCTTAACTATTAGAGTCTTTTCTACCTTAACTTACTTTCTTTTATATAATTTATATTGCATAGTAGCCTTATTAGCTACTTAAAGCTTAGTAATTTCCTATTATACTAATACTAGCTTATGCGTAATAATAGCTACCCTCTTTAAGACCTTCTTAAACGCTTTAACTAAAGAGGTTAGTAAGCTATTTATATACTTCTAAATCCTTATCTTTATAAGTATTAATTATAATCTAAGTTCTAGAGTATTACTAGAGGTTTATAACTGCTAGAGCTTATAGTTAAGAGTAAGTAGTAGTAATAGAGTCTATAGCTTTATATTAAGGCCTATTATAACCTATTATAGGTTAAATAGTACTAGTCTAGCACCTTAGAACTCTTCTTAGATATTGCTAGAAGTTATTATATTATTATAGGCTACTTTAAAATATAGTAGAAACTCTATCTTTATAATATAGTTAATCTAGTTATATATAAGCTTTTTAGCTTAGTACTTATATAACTTCTTTAAAAGGGCAAAACAACCTATATTAAGTAGCTGCAGGAGGTATAATAAGTATAGAGGCATATATAGGGTAATAATCTTGCTATCTTTGCAGCATTGCTAGAAATCTAGGGAATTATAGCTTTTATAACTATTAATAACTAGTAGATAGTAGGTTTTAATAGTACGCTCCTTTATATATGCGTTAAAGTGCTTTAACTACTCTAGACTAAGCTTATTAGTAGTCTAGCTATTATTAGAGACTATAATAATATAGTCTTAGGGTAGATCCTCCTCCTAGTACTAGTTAGATAGGTAATTATAGGCCTTAAAGATAATAAAGGGTAGAATAGCCTACCTTTTAGTATTAACGCCCTATATAACTATTATCTACTCTTAGTTACCTAGCTAGACTATCTTTAGCCTTCTATATTATTCTAAGCCTATTATAACTACTCCTATTAATATTTAACCTATTATAAACCTAGTCTTATTAAAGTTATATATATCTTAGTTCTAGATGCTATACTTAGCTTTAGTATTCTCTATAAGGTAGAACTAGCCTTTTATAATCTCTAGATCCTTATAAAGAGCTCTCTTATAGTTATACTTGCAGTTAAGCCTTACTTTAAGCTTTAGTTAATACTTAATAAATATACTAGGCCAGTTTAGGCTAATATAGCCTAGATTATACTTAGCGCATAAAGAATTAGCTATAGTAGCTATATCTACTAGGTAAGAGAGAAACCCTTATGCAGCTAGCTTAAGTATATGCTTAATAATTACCTACTCCTTATTATTATCTAGATTCTAGGAGTTAGCTATAGAACTAGCTTATAAAGGTTATCTAGCATATTAGTTACTTAGTATACCTTAAGAAACCCTATAGATAGTAGCAGCATATTATAGAGAGAGAGTTACGTCTTATTTAAGAGCCTAGAGTGCAAGCTATATTTAAGCCTTCTTTAACGCATCTAACTTATATTATTAAGAAGGTATTAGTATAGAAAGAGTAGTTTAGTATAGTCTTAGTAAAAGTATCTAACTTACCTATTATCTAACTTACCTATAGAGTATGTTAGATAATAATAGAAGAAGGAGTATCTATAGACCTTATAATAAGGGACTCTAAGAGAGTAGAGTAGATAATAAACTACTAGAAATAATTAGTCCTAGTATTAAAAACACTATAGTTATATGCTAGTATATATATAGTAGGTATTTTATACTATAGACTTATATTTTTTTACTTATAATATACTCTATAGGCAAGTTAGATAATAGGTAAGTTAAATACCTTTACTAAGCCCCTACTAAATCTTACTCTATTATAGCCTCTATTAGCCTACTTTAGAGCTATATAGAGTAGAATAACCTATAATATTACTTAGAGACTACTTCTATATTATTCTTATATATTTATATATTATATCTAGTCTTATTATACTATCTATAGCACCTTTAGGTTAGGTTAGCCCTATTAGTGCGCACTTACTTCTTTACCTTCTTCCTATTACTATGCGCTCTAAACTCCTTTAGAGTTGTTAGTTATAGCCTATCCTTAACTATTAGGGTCCCTTCTACTTTAACCTACTTTCTCTTATATAATTTTTAGTATAAGGTAGCCTTATTTACTACTTAAAGCTTAGTAATCTTCTATTGCGCTAATACTAGCTTATATATAACTATTGCTGCGCTCTTAATATAATGCTTAAGCATACTAGCAATAGAATTTAGAGAGCTACCTTACTATCTCTTAAACTTATCTTAAATTAGAGCAGATTATAAGTAAAATTCTAGGATATTACTTAGAGTTTATAACTACTAAGGCTCCTTATAAATAGAGAGGTATAGTAATAGAGTGCGCAGCTTTATATTAAGGCCTATTATAACCTATTATAGGTTAAACAGGACTAGTCTAGTACCTTAGAACCCTCTCTTAATATTACTAGGAGTAAAGGCAGCATTATAGGCGCATATAAAGTATAGTAGGAACTTAGTCTTTATAATATAGTTAATCTAGCTATATATAAGGTTTTTAGCTTAGCACCTATATACCTTCTTTAAAGGGGCAAAACAGCCTATATTAAGTAGCTATAGAAGGTGCAATAAGTATAGAGGCATATATAAGGTAATAATCTTATTATTCTTATAGTATTGCTAGAAGTTAAGTAAGTTATAGCTCTTATAACTATTAATAACTAATAGATAGTAGGTTCTAATAGTACGCTTCTTTATATACGCATTAAAGTACTTTAACTACTCTATGCTAAGCTTATTAGTAGTCTAGCTATTCTTAGAGACTATAATAACCTAGTCTTAGGGTAGACTCTCCTCTTTATACTATGCAGAGAGGTAATATTGCGCCTTAAAGTTAATAAAAGGTAGTATAGCCTACTCTACCCTATTAATACCCTAGATAACTATTATCTACTTCTAGTTGCCCTATTAAATAGACTTTAGCTATCTATAACACTCTAAGCCTATAATAATAGCTTCTATAGATATCTAGCCTATTATAAAGCCTATCTTATTAAAGTTATAGGTGTTATTATCTAGGATACTATACTTTGCTTTAGTATTCTCTATAAGGTAGAACTAGCCTTATATAATCTCTAGATTCTTATAGAGAGCTTGCTTATAGTTATACTTATAGTTAAATCTTACTATAAGCTCTAGTTAACGCCTAATAAATATACTAGGCTAGTTTACGCTAACATAGCCTAGATTATACTTAGTATGTAAAGAATTAGCTATATTAGCTACAGCTATAAGCTAAGGGGGAAATCTTTGCACAGCTAGCTAAAGGATATAATAAACAATTACCTACTCCTTATTCTTGTCTAGGTTCTATAAGTTAGGTATAGAATTAGCACGTAAAGGTTGTCTAGCGTGTTATTTGTTTAGTGTAGCTTAAGGAACCTTGTAGATAGCTGCAGCACGCTGCTTAGAGAGGTTCGCGTCTTGTTTAAGAGCCTAGAGCGCAAGCTATATCTAATGTTCTTTTAACGCGTCTAAGTAGTGTTGTTAGAAAGGCATAGTTGCAGTAAGGGTGTTGTGGTAGGGGCTTAGCAAAAGTGAGTCGCTCGCCCATTAAGTCGTTCGCCCGTTAGGTACGTTAGTGTAAATACACTTTTATGTGGTGTTCAATACCTGTTTTATGCGGTGTTAATTACACCCCTAACGCAGTGTTTTTGAGGGACTTTCTTCTGTGTAAAAGACACCGCACCATGTGCGGTGTTATTTACCCGATTTTGTACCCCAGTGCTAGTCACTTGCACGAACATGTCTTATCCTATAGTGAACTGTTATACTTATTTCGTGTCTGTACGCTCTAATCCGACCTTACATAAGTGCGCAATATGGATCGCAGATGTTTCACGGTAGAGCCAGTTTCTCTACTAAGAGTATTATGTGAATCTCAGACTCACATTGCTGTGCAAGTTCTGCTCGCGACCCCAATGGCGCAATCCTGCAACCGTAGACCTTTCGACCGGTTGACAGAGGCTGTCATAGAAAACCTGATCGAACTTAAAGACTATCACGGTCTTCATCGTTGGAAGAAATTCACGAATTTTATTCCATCGTGGTGAGTCTCGGCTCTGTGCAGAACCAAGACGTGGTGCGTACATAATGTGGACCCTGCCTACGCGCGCCATGAGGAGGTCAGGGCTAACTAAGGGTATAAGGGGTACATGAAGAACACTAATCGATGCAATCTATGGCCTTCCCAACTATACTGGAAGGGCTTTAATCAATTTCTTGGTACTTGTCCTTTCATAGGATATTGCTTTTCAATGTTGCCCATCGCTTGCAGACATAGATGCGAAATGACTCAATGGAGAATCGAACATGACTTGGTTGGCAACGTACTCGAGAGCTTCAGACGAAAGACCGAAATTCATAAGGAATACGTCATTTGGCACCATAGGGAATACCGGAAACGTCGCGGTAGAGAACTGAGTAGCAAAGTCGCTTGAGCCGCTTGCGCATGTAAAGTCATTCGAGAAGGCCGGGTGTTCTGGAGCAATCGAATTAAGAGATTGGGGTCTTTGTAGTGCTGCCGACAAGCCAAAGGCTTGCTTGTTATCAGTCAGCCTGGCTGCGCTGTCCAACGAAGCAAGAAGCTCTTTCACGTGAACAGCTTCCGCCTTTCGGTACTTCGCGATAGGATTCTTTTGTGCGATCATCTCGTCGAAAATGGCGTGTGCTCGTTCTTCCAAGTTGAGAACGTTGTGAGTCGTGAAAGATACAGCACGAATGACAAGTAGCACGATCAACGCAGATGAGAGCGTGTCCAGTTGAAATGGCAGGAAGACCTCTGAGTCAAACGACTTAGCATGTAAACAGGGATCGTAGACTTCCTTACCTATCATGTTGTTGTCTAATCGCACAGTCAACAATTCGATTATTTTCGCTGCGGAATTTGCACATGTATCCACGAGAGTATTTGGTCGGTCGGAATTCTGCTGCATCGATCTCTGATGATGTGTACCATTCTTCAGCCTTCGTTTCAACAAAGACAAGAGCACTGGCCGGGTCGCTAGTATTGCACACTGTGTGATAAGATTTTAGACTAGATGCAGTTCTGATGGTGCACACTGAGTACGTACCTCGTGATATGCCAATGTCAGGAGGGTTACTGAAGCAAGATCAACCTGGATGGGGCTTTGAAGTTGATTTTGTATGGTGTCTTCAAGCTCCTTAGCCAGTCCCGCAAGAGACTTCAGGAGACGTCGGGTTCGTTCCAGGAAGGTCCGATCAACTGCGTTATTAGATACATAGACAGCTGTCACTGTTAGACAGATGGGTACACCGGAGACCAACCACTCACTGCTCAAGACCTTGGAGACCAGGCGTGACACCTTTACATGTAGTGTGTAGACGATGTGTCTCTGAGAAGATCCAAATGTTATCGGTAGAGGCGCAGTGATGTCCTCTTCATGAACCACAGTGGGGCAACCAGTAGCTGAGGCAATGTGCCGGTCCATGATGTAGATGGACCACCATAGACAGTTGTATCTGTGAGCGATTTCGACACCGAAGCGTTCTACCGGTAATCTCGTATGCAGGCCAGAATGCATTGCCAGTCGTGCAGCTTGACCTATCTGCGGTGCGCAACTTTGTTAGATTCAAAGATTGATAGTGGGGCTAGACATGAGGAGCACTACTCACATAAGCGTATGCAGAAGCTTTGTAATCAATACAATACATGTACAGCGCTATCAATGCCAGTACTTCGATTGTCAGGATAGGTTCAGTCCTCTGTAGCTCAGGCACGCATGTTAAGAGTGACATACCTCGCGCAAAAAACTCGAAGCCCGAAGGTACGATGTGATTGCGCGGGCGCTCGAGGAGTGCTTTGCCAAAAGCCATTATCACAAGAAATTGGACACACCAGAGCCGAGATGAACGGGCAGTTTCAAGTGGACTATTGTAGAACTCCGCGGTCTTTGTGGCGAAAGCTTCGTGATCGAAGAATTGCAACCTATGGCTTAGATGAAACTTGACTGAGTTCAACAAGTAGATCGCGTAGTCACGTGGTGGTATCGATCGCAGCCAATTGGACTCTTGAATATGATCCCACCTCAAGGGGTAGGCATCACCGTCAAGAGGGAAACGCAGCTCTTCGGTTGCTGCTGTTGTAGCTTCCTGGAGAAGGTCGGTGACTCTGAACACGAAGGACCAGCTCGATGACTGAGCGACATACACTGCTGTAGTCAGCATCCGGTAGGTAGTGGTGCTGGCTAGTAGCTTACACCATCGAGCCTCAGATGATCGGTTGTCCTTGATGAACGATGTATCATCAGGAAATGGACTTTCGCTCAAATCTGCCTCCCAAGAGTCTTCATCAACTTGCTCAGTCAACTCGTTACGAGACATTTCCGGCACGCGCATTAGGGATAAATCTGGCCTGTCGATTAGCGAAGTCCCACGTGAACTTTCACTTGCCTACCGTTATCCTCTTCAAACTGCGCTTCTACCTCATCTACGTCTTCTGTGCCCACCGACGCGCGAGTTGCATTCTCAAAGCGCCTGAGACGTAGGTGCAATGACTGAAGGTACCTGAGGAATGTTAGCAAGTTCGCGTGACATCACACTATGCATTGACCGTTCTGAAACCACGATCCTCCTGCTGTCTTCTGCAACAGTGCATTGTATCGACCTGCGTTGGCAGGAGACGCAAGGCACGTTACCAGAACACTTGACCTTCCGCTTACGGCACGCGTCGCATCTGGAAATTGAATCGCGTTAGTTACTTGAGCTAGAGAAGATCAGCCAGTCACTTACGCGACACTTGCCCTCGATGTTCCGGGCTTTGGCATGTCAGAAGGCGAAGGCGAAGGCATGGCCGCTCACAGACAAGAACAAGCTAGTCACAGAACATCTCCTAGGAGAAGCCTCAAAGTAGAAACAACCAACACCGTTGTGTGAACGCGAACCCCTCACGCCAAGGCCGATAATGCTCATGGGAGCGCCTGTCTGCAACGTGTGCTTAGATAGTGTGTCCACACTAGGACCGGCTGCGTGTGGAAAGAATTGTCCGAGCGTGTTAAACGACGCTATATCCAAAGGCCAATCGGAGGTCGTTACGTTCGGGCTCGGCGACCGAGCCGACTTCTCGCTTATCATCACGTGCCGTTCCAATCGGCGAGGTGCTGGTGTGAATAAAGACCATGATAGGATAACCCCTAATGCTCTCCAGTAGGTCTTTCATACCTACGAATTTCCCAAACATGGTTGAAACCAAGCTTTACACACTACCTCCCACGTCTTTGATACCAAATTCGCCGCTTCCACTAGTACACTATCGCGGAGTATTGAAAGAATCGGAGAGAACTCCAGGTCACGCTTTCGATATGTTTTGGGACAATGGGTGGCTAGTTCAGTGGCTTGTACGGTATCCTCACACTCAGCGAGCCCACTATCACGGAGCTTCTCATGAATGCATGGCTGTGCTCACGGGTAATGCTACGATTCGGTTCGGCGTCGCTGATACTGATCCGGACTTGGAAAAGAACACACATGGCTCTGCTTTCGAGAAGGGCGGGATAGAGCTGGAGGCAAGAGCTGGAGATGTCTTCATCATACCTGCCGGCGTGTCTCACAAAACATACAACTCTCTGCCTGCGGCCGAGTTTGAGCGATTAAGTCCTGGCGACGGGCATACGATTGATATCGAGACTGCTCGGAAAACCTATCATAGGATTGAACTTTCCGGCTTCACTATGCTAGGAGCCTATCCCGAAGGCTGTCAGTGGGACTTTCTTGAAGGTGGAGAGCATGAAGGGAACTTCGAAGCTGTGTGGAAGATACCAAAGCCGAGCACGGACCCTGTGTTTGGAACGAATGAGAGAGGGATTTGCTCTACGTGGTGCAACACGCCACAATCTAAGCTGTAGAGCTTGAACCCATCCTGATGACCAGAACCCCTTAGCGCGCTGTCTTGCACTGATCTCTCTAACTTGTTTGTTGTCTTTGGGTTTTGTTTAGCCCCTCAGGCACATGATCTTGACTTCATCAATGGTGTGACGATACTAAGAAGCTTTGTAAGCTACTGTGAGAACCCAGTACCGAGCCGCTCAGCCAAACAAGCCATAAATAAACCAGTATTCACTCACTATGAGTGAAGACTTAGAGGAGTACTTGTTGCCACCAGGTCAGGGGTGGTCGCTGCCATATGCCCAGCTACCTTACAGGGTCTGACATAAATTCTATGAGTGACCCCGGACCTGACCCTAAATGCTAAGATGCCGGGCGGATTTTTGTCTATTGATTTGCTGACTCCCCCTAGTCGGTTACCTAGTTTATTTTATTGATTCATTGACTCCGACTCGGTTGCAGCCGCGTTCTACGCAGCTATGCCCTGAGTGACAGGCGTCGCAGACAGCGGGCGCGATGCAGACGCTACCTACCATAACTGCAACGTCACGCTTCTAAGTAAATGCAAGTAGCAAAGACTAATCCCAAGCATGACTATATTACTTCGCTATAGAACCTCGTGATAATAGCTATTGCAGGTGACTCTACAGCCTCATTCGTGTGTGAGCTGGCGTCATTCTCGGACGTTGCCTGACTCGGGTGCGCACACAGACCCGGTACCGTAGCGCATGCGCCCGGGTACGCATTACCGGTACGTGCGGAGACGCGGCAAGGGTGCCAAGCCTAGGCAGAGACCTCGGCTTGTAAACGTAGGGCCTATGCTTCGCTTTAAACTGCTAGCCAGCGGGCCTTGTCCTCTGCGGTCCGGAATAAAATTCCGTTCTCATAAGATCGGAAAGTCCCTCCGTGGGGAGAAGCGGATGGTTGGCTGGTCTTAAACACGTATTTGTTTCCATTGTTAGGCACTCGCTAGAGCTGACCTAGTATGGGTGAATGCTCCTATCTCACTCCGAACATGGCACGACGGGGAACGCTGAGGTGCCGAGCTCATGAGCTCATATCGCGATCCACAGCCCGGTAGCTCTATAGCCCATATGGCATACTACTAATCAGTGTCCCGTGTCAATCGGCTTGTCACTGGGACAGCTAGAATATCAGGATGAGAATATCGACGCCGTAAAAAGAAACGCTTTCCGTTAGCTTCCGGCATCGATAAGACCTCGATGCTTGATCAGCTAATTGCTCCAGTGTGCGACCATCGGTCGGCAATCTCAGGCTCGACCGGGCTCACCTTTAACGCCTGAGATGGGAGACCCCGCCCTTTGGTTCAAACATCCTAGTTATCAGCATCAGAGAGGTGAAACTTCGAGCATTACATGCCGATAGTCTCCTATCAGAGCTGCCTTGCATGAGACGATATTATTCGCCTTACAACCAACCTGCTTATGTTGCTGGGTATCTACCGTGCTTGTGGGCTCTGGAAAAAATGTCTAATTTGTAACCGCGGCCCGCAGAGCATGTGTTCTTACGCCCGGTGCGGTTAATGCTGTAACAGCCACCTTCGAACAAGATAATGAGCTTATGTGAAGGTCTCGAAGCAGAAACTTGAGGGCTGATAAAATTGCAAGCTCATTCCAGAGATTCTGTAAACATGTTAATATTTGAAAATACGTTCCGAAACTAGACACTAGAGCCTCTAGATACATCAGATAGCAATAGATCAATCCACTAATAGGCAGAGTATAGCACTAAAAGGGACAGTCAAATATGGCATCTGCAAGGTTATGATATACGTTCGCTGTCATTAACGTGCCTCTTAATGCCACATAGCTGGGCCATCTCTAACCAGAACCCATTCGGAGGACTAACGAAACTTTCCTCGTAGATGTCGATCATTGGTCGTTCCCAAACTAAATCAAGCTCGTCAGGCTTGATCTTCTTCGTGCGCTTGATGATCTTCCATCCCAGGTAGAGGATAGGAGCTACTAGCTGCATGGTATAGTTCTGGAAGAAACCCTCGACGCTGAAGGGCTTGAAAACCGAATAGCCGTAGAAGAGAGCGACAAGGAAAGTGGAGATGGCTCCAAGATAGGCGCATCCAGGTTGCAACCAGCCATAATAAGGCAGAGTTGCACGGTCCAAGCCCTGGGCCTTGCAAGCCTTATGGTAGTTGATAAAGGTGATGCACATCGTGAAATAGTCGATCATGCCGCAGCCTGTGATTAAACTAATTAGCCAGGAAATGACCTTGGCTGAGCCTTGGTTGACTTGCAGAAAGGAAAGAAAACCAAAGCAGATGACAGCCAGGAAAGAGTATACGGGGATTCCAGAAGTAGTAGTCTTAGAGAACATGCGGGGTGCGCGACCTTCGAGAGCCATGCCGTATAGGGTACGCGTAGCACAGTACACATAAGTGTTGCCCGCAGAAAAGATTGAGGTGATTAAAAGGGCGCTGACTATGTGTGGCAACACACCGATTCCCATATTTGACATGGCAATGACGTAAGGAGAGGCTGTGACAGTGCCTCCCCCTCCACTGGTGCCAAGAAACACACCCTGAAGCTGAGGGTCGTTCCATGGTACGACAATTCCAACGCAAAGCGAGCCAAGTATAAAGAAGGCGCCGAAGCGCCAGTACACGGTCTTGAAGGCGCCTTTAACGTACACCCGGGGTCGCTTCGTCTCGGCGGCTGCGATCGAAATGTATTCAGGTCCGACGATGGTGAAGGCTGCCGACCACAAGCATGAAAGGAAGCCTTCAAATCGGCCCAAACTGCCAGTGGACGACCTGGCAGGGTTATCGGCAAATGCACCAGGATTGTTCCAGTAGCGGAAACCGTAGGCGTCCTTTTGCGGATTGCCACCCACCATGGTGACGAAGGTAAAGGATAATACGATGAAGATCAAAATGACCTTACCCCCCGAGAGCCAGAACTCGGCCTCGCCGAACCAGCGCACCGCAGCGAGATTGATGATGATGCAATCGTAGAGTTAGCTGGCGTTCGCCTTTAAGATCAGATTTGGACTTCGGCAAGATCGCCAACTAAAGACAGAAGGGTGACACGTACCTATAGAGTATAATGCAGATAGCACAAATTGCGGCCACCGGGATTTTGTCCGTCCAGTAAGTGACCACCAAATTAACAGCTGCGATCTCGAAGGGAATGGCTAAGACTTCAAAGAAGAAGAAGTTCCAACCGACCATGAAACCGAGGGCATCATCGAACCAATGGCCGGCTATGCGTACGAAGCCTCCAGCGACGGGTTGAAGGACTACCATCTCCGAGATAGAATTATTGATAGCTGCCACGACGATGCACCACAAAGAGTAGGCAATGAGAAGGGAGCCTGATCCACCTGCAGCCAGACCGTTGCCAATGCTAACGAAGAGGGCTGTACCGATGGCGCCGCCAATCGCCAGCAGCTGAATCTGACGGTTCCCAAGTCGGCGCTGGAGATTATCGGCATTGTCCGTGACGATACCAGGCTGGGGCGTACTGTGGACAAGAGATAGGTTCTGATCAGAAGCAGCGAGCTTAGGCTCAGTTTTGGTGTTGTCACAATCCATTACTGAATGTGGAAGGGCAATGGAAAGAAGGCGTTATCAGACCACGGATCGTATACGAGTTGGCGACTTGGAAACTTATAGATTGGAGAGTCAAGATGTGTTTTCCAAGCCTCATACGCACTGACTATGTCTAGCAAGCCATGCACTGACTATACCGTGCCGAGATAACAGGGGCGAAGATGAGGTTTCGCGATCGTCTTAGCACCCTCCAATCGGAGACCAATCCGTGTAGCGTCTGGGGCAGAACATGGCTCCAATCCGTGCAGCAGCTAGAGCAAATATAGCTAGAGGGCTCTACCGTGTCCGTGCACCTCATGAGCCGGGTCAGCGAGTGAGCCACCCCACCTTTGAGCGTTTGATAGAATCATGGTTGTCACGCTAACGTGAGTGCATAGCGAGTAACGCACCCTAACAAACTATTAGGCTTTCCTACCTTTAAACCTTAATAGACTAGCTACCTAACCTAGAATTGCTCCTAGAAGAAGATAGAATTAAGCTTGCACTTTAAGCAATTAAGAAACCTTAAGAGCTAAGCATGCAACGCACTGCTATAGTATATAGGGTCTCTAAAGCAACTCTCTGCTGCTAACACGCTAGGATGCAGTTAACACGTAATACCTACCCTAAATTAGTAAATCTTTAGAAGATAGAGTAGAGAATGCTTATATAGTATATTAGGAAGCTAGATTTCTAAGGATTTACCCTAATGCTTTATTATATTAAAGATATAGCTAATTAACTGCGTGCTGCATATAGCGCAAAGCCTATTAGCCTATAATAGGCTTTAAACTTTGTTAAACGCAAACCTAGACTTAAATTATATATAACTTAATAGAGAGATTACTAGAGAGTCTTATATAGTAATCTAGAGGTTATTAGGCCTTAGTTTAACCTAGTACGCAATATTAAGGCTAAGTATAGTATTCTAGACAAAGATATCTATAACTTTAATAAGACTAGCTTTACTATAGGTATTAGAAATTATATTAAAGTAGTTACTATATTAGAGAGATATACTAAGCCTATTAGGTTATAATAGGGAGACTATAAGTAAGTAACTTTTATTACTATAATTAATATAATAGGCTAGGTAATTATACTCTACCTTATCTTTAAAGTAAAGAACTATAACGGGTTCTAGTACCCTAATTTAAAGCCCTAATAGTATATTAGAGTTAGTAACAATAGCTAGACTATAAATAATATTAGTATAGCCTAGTTAAGGCACTTTATTAAGTAGATTAAAGGCTAGAAGGTAGGTAGCTATATACTACTTATAATTAATAGCTATAAAAGCTATAAATTACTTACCTTCTAGGATCTTTATAAGGAAAACAAGATAATTACTCTATATATGCTCTTATACTTATTGCATATTCTATAGCTACTTAATATAGGCTATTTTGCCTCTTTAAAGTAGGAGTATAGCAAAGAGATTAGAGTCTTAGTAATAGACTATATTAGCTAAATTAATAAGAAGGCCTTTATTGCAATATTTATAAAGGTTTTTAAGAAGGCATTCTTATAGGCAAATATTATATTAAGCTTTAAGGCAACTAGCTTAGTGCCTAATAACCTATTTATAGTGCTATTAAAGCTTAATATTAAGCTTTAGATGCTAACACTACCTCTACTAAGGGGGACCTAATAGAACTCTAAGACACCTACTAATACTAATAAGATAAAGTCTTAATTAATACTGCTTTATAATTATATTTAAAAGCACTAAGGATTATTACTAACTCTAATAGTAGAGATTATTAATTAGCTATAGAGAGGCACTATAATACTACTATATAGGTAGATGTTGTTAGCTACCTAAGTGCTATAGCTTAAAGTATTAAATAAGGCTGCTTCTAAATACAAATTATATAAAAGAAAGCAGATCTAGAAGGGTAAGAACCTTTTAAAGGAATAGGTAGAGGATTTAATAGCCTAATGCAATATTAGGGCGTAGGTAGAGGGGGAAACGCATAAGAGTAGGGCCTAAATAGGTGTAGGTAAGTAGGGCAAAAGGCACTATAAGCGCTATAGTAAGATAGGGTATAACTTATGCATAACGTACCCTATAGGCAAGTAGATTAATAGGCAAGTAAATTACTTTTACTAAGCCTCTACTAAAGTATCCTCTATATACTAATGCCTTAATAATAACCTAATCTTAATGCGTTAAAGGAAGCTTAAATATAGCTTACGCTTTAAGCTCTTAAATAAGACGCAAAACTCTTATAGCAATATGCTGCAGCTATCTATAATGTTTCTTAAGCTATACTAAGCTATTAACTTACTAGACAGCCTTTATAAGCTAATACTATGCCTAACTTATAAGGGTTAAATAATAACAAGGAGCAGGTAATTATTAATTATATACTTAAGCTAGACAAGCAAGGATTTAGCCCTTAGCTAGCAGATATAGCTATAATAGCTAATTCTCTACACGCAGAGCGCAATCTAGGCCCTATTAGCATAAACTAGCCTAGTATATTTATAAAGCGTTAACTAGAGCTTAAAGTAAAGTTTAATTATAGGTATAACTATAAGTAAGCCCTCTATAAGGATTCTAGAGTTATATAGGGCTAGTTTTCCCTAGTATAAAATATAAAAGCTAAGTATAGTATTCTAGATAATAATACGTATAACTTTAATAAAATAGGCTTTATAATAGGCTAGATCTCCTAGAGAGTAGTTATTATAGCTTTAGAGAGATAAGGAAGGCTAAAGGTAGTCTAGCTAGGCAACTAGGAGTAGATAACAGTTATATAGGGTATTAATGCTAAAGGATAGGCTATTCTACCCTTTATTATCTTTAAGGCGCGCTACTACCTCTCTAGCTAGTATAAGGAGGAAGACCTGCCCTAGGATTAGGTTATTATAGTCTCTAGTAATAGCTAAACTACTAATAAGCTTAGTTTTAAGTAGTTAAAGCACTTTAATATATATATAAAGGAGCATACTGCTAGTACCTACTAACTACTAGTTATTAACAGCTATAAGAGCTATAAATCGCTCTAATTCTAGAAATACTATAAGAATAATAAGATTGTTACTCTATATATGCCTCTGCACTTATCGCACCTTCTGCAGCTACTTAATATAGGCTGTTTTGCCCCTTTAAAGATAGTATATAGGCGCTAAGCTAAATTGCTTATATATAACTAAATTAGCTATATTATAAAGACTAAGTTCCTGCTATACTTTAAAGCAGCCTATAATGCGGTGTTTACCTCTAGTAATATCTAAGGAGAGTTTTAAGGTACTAGATTAGTCCCCTTTAATCTAGAATAGGTTATATTAGCCCTTAATATAAAGCTTTAAACTCTATTACTACTACTCCCTACTAATAATATACCCTAGCAGTTGTAAACCCCTAGTAACACTCTAGAATTTAGGTTATAATTAACTCTAATTTAAGAGAAGTATAAGAGGCAGCAGGGCAGCTTACTAAATTCTATTCTAAGCGCGCTTAAGCACTATATAAAGGGGGGAGCAATCTTATCCTATAAGCTAGTTTTAGCTTAACAAGAAATTAAGGAGCTTTAAGCAGCTAATAAGGCCGCTATGCAACAAAAATTATATAAAAGAAAGCAAGTTTAGAAGGAAGAGACCCTAATAGTTAAAGATAGGCAGCAGCTAGCAGCTCTAAAGGAGTTTAGGGCGCGTAGTAATAGGAAGAGGGCAAAGAAGCAGGTGCGCACTTAAGAGGGCGAGCTAACCTAACAGCGCTGTAGAAGATGCAATTAGACAGGACACAACGCGCAAACGTGCAAGATTAATATAGAAGAGGTCTCTAAATAATATTCTAGCCTGTACTATACTGTGCAGGACTAAAGTATAGTATTTTAGGCTATAATAGGTTAAGTTTTGGTAGGGGCTTGGCAAAAGTGATTCGCTCGCCTGTTAATCCGCTCGCCTGTGGGGTATGTTATATAGAAAAGATATAGTAGATATTAGCAATTAATTATATATACTATTAGCTATAGTACAATGTTGTAGTATTAAGTAATTGCGTGTAGAAGGCCTAATAGTTTGTTAGGGTGCGTCACTCGCTTAACTATATTACTCGTTATGCACTCACGTTAGTATTCTAGTCTAATCTAAGGGAATTATCGTGCATTTTCTAGCAACATAACCTAGAATTCGTAGGAATAAGTGGCCTAAGAAACCGTGATGGAATCTAGCTATATCCGGGTCAATTTTCCCCGGATAGATAACCGTGGTGTAAGCAAATCAGCCATTATGTGCGATTGCAGTATCCTTGCTAAGAAGTTCCTCGAACTTATTGCAGACAGCCTTCAGGTTCTCTAGGTGAGTAGCATACCAAGCCGCGGCTTTTTGAGAATCCTGAGGCGGCGGCGGATCAAAGAACGGGTAATAAAGTCTCGACTTCGCACACCAAGCATCGACATCTGGTAATGCCATCCACTTAAGCTGATTCCTTAGGGTGACCAAAAAGACGGCGCAGTAATCTTTTGGCTTTGAACACGCAGGAACAGGTTCGCAAAGGGAGTTCCTGAACTCTTCGTCGTCGTAGTTGTTGTCAAGGTAGGCGATGAGAGCAGCGCTAAGCGTAGGCTGACCGATCCTTAGAAGCTGGGGCGTGATGTGTCGGCCGTTCCAGACAGGAACAGCCGGACAGTTTGAGATAGCGGAGGCACTGCAGTCAATGTAGAGGGATTCAGGCACAGGCGTGTATGTGCCCTGCTCCAAAGCGACTTTGTCTGGATCAATGCTTATGATCCGTCCTTGGCGTACAATGTTCTTAATTTTCTTCAATTCTTCAATCTCCGCCTTTGTGACAGTCGCGAACTTGAACATTGTAGGCTTGATGTCCTTGTCTATGCGTAACACGTGTCCGTATGCCTCCATGAGCAGAAACATCTCATCAGATGTTTTGGCCCCCACAATGGCGTCAGCTCTTTCTTTCATCAGTTTGTCAAGATCAGGGGTATTCTCTTGATCCTGCACGGAACCGCGTTCAAGAAACCAGGAATCGCGCGGGACAATCCAGGTAATATCGTTTGGGTCTATGCCGTAACCCAGCAGACACAAGCCTGCGTCGAGTGCAGTCTTCCCGGCCCCGACCAAGGTATAGCCGCCATGAGGTCGTTTGAGCGTTGCTAGAGCGTTGGGCGTGATGAGCCTCACTTTGTCCGAGACCTTGTATGCAGGTGGACTCATAGCAGGAACCTTAACCTTCGCGTAGGTGCAGTCTACGATGCGAGTTCTCGATCCAACATGAATAACCTTCCCCGTAATGATTGATTGAAACTGTCCCTCGCCGATGTAGTTGTGTTTCGGGTAATAGCTGACTCGACCGGACGGAAGAAAGGTGTCATGCATAACTCTGTAGAAATAGGCAACGATCTCATCGCCTGTTGCCAACTCGGCATAGCCTTTATTGAGACCAACTTTGTCTATTTTGCCTTCGCCGAGTTCTCGAGAGTTGACGCCGTAGGCGCTGGACGGCTGATGAAGGGTAACATGCGGATAGGCGATAGTCCAATGACCACCCGGACGAGAGTAGCTATCGACAATGACCGCCGTAGCCTCGGTATCAGAGACCAAGGTGTCAACGAAGGCCATGCCTACCGCGCCTGCGCCGATGACGAGGTAGTCGGGAGAAATTGTCTCAGCCATGTTGGATGATGGTGCTGTTTGTGATGCGTAGAGGTTGGAAGAAAACTGAAGTGTTTGAAGATATCCTAAGAATTGTCCATATGATCGAGAACAGAAGACGTCTTATCGATGTGGCATGGAAAGGTAGGGAAAATTAAATTTATACTGATGTCTTGTCTAGCTATGATTCCTGTCCTTGGGTCGTTACTGACGTGTACAATCTCTTGGCTAGCGTTGAACAAAATTGATCCGAACGCATTATCGGCCCGGTCGTGTTGCCGTTGCCATCCGATTGATTACTAATACCAGGGTCAATTCATGAGGTTTCTGTTACGCTGCTGGCAAGCCTGTACATTGCGATAACATTGCTCTCACTATTCTAAAGCTCTGAATCACGAAGTCAACAGAGAGAGCCCTAACCTAACAGCTCAGTTCGAAAGTGTTGGGCTTCTGCGACGTGGCTGTAGAACCTGCCAAATGTTACTGTAGCAAAATTGTTATACACTACGAACGTGATGAAGGAGCGTCAAGCTTAATTCGTGGGTGGAAGTGAATGCACTAGGATTGCAAAAATGCAATCTACTATGGTCTCCGGCGAAAGTATGTACAGTGGGACTTGCCACCGGAAATCGAAGCTGGCTAATCTCAACCTTGTCTAATAAGGGTAATAAAGGATAACAAGTTGCATAGTGGAGAGACTTAAGAGACCTTGATTACATACAAATTACATAGCGTTTGAGGTATTTCGTCAGTCGGGCCATTCCGTTGATCCAAGGCAACACCTGCTGTGCAAGCCCCACTGTACACTGCTTTCGCCGGAGACCACAGTAAGCTAGTTCAGTGTTTGACCGCGTTTAGAAGCTGATAATGCATGTATTCTATGGAGTGTCATCTCCGGAGATAAGGCAGCATGGGGGTGTATCCCAACACAGGAAATCTTTTCATTAATTGTCTTTAAGTATGATATCTAACTACCCCACTATAGACGACTTCTACTATGTAGGATCTCGGCCGAACAGCTCCACCGCTATCCGTACAGGTGACGGACACACCGCTTTTCTCCTCTTAGCTATATAGCAAGAGCTAACATTTGGCCGACCTAATCTCAACATGTGAGATAGAGAATCAAGCCCGTAGGCTTCAGGAAGAAGTCGACACTATGTAGCATTATACAAGAAACAGCTCTGTAAACGCAGCGGACACTTATACTACAATTCTGCAAACACTCTTACTTACATCACGCCGTGCTTCTATAGAACGCGATCAACAACAGCACTTTGACGACGATCTTTACACCCTTGAAACGTTGATTCTGTGGACTTGCTGGCGTAGATCCTGTGTCATTAGTGGCGGAAAACCGCACCAATCATTCGAACGCGCACGCTACCAAAAGCCGAGAAAGTAATCAGATTGAACGTCGATCTTGAGGGCACACGGTCTTGAGTTTAATGAGCAAAATTCAGGGTAGAATGATTTGCTTGCGACAACTATTTATAAAGACAGCGCCGTTCTCTCTCTACTACGACCCGTCCAGGAATTGCAGCAAACAGTTAACAGTCAACACTAGCAAATTTGATCAAGTAGGTCCTAGCACTACGTCGTTCCTTTTTTCAGCGAGTTGATAGACGAAGATATCGAATTGTTAGTTGCAATGATTGCCACGCTCAAGACTCTCCTTCTAGCAAGCAGCTTCTCGCTTGCGCTGGGAGCATCCGTGCCGACGCGCCGCGCAGAAGTAAATATTCCGAGCCTTGATCAAGTCTACAAAGACACGCTAAAATTCTTGCTGATCATTGCAGAACTCAACATGCCAGTTTAATGTAAACCTTGACACTGTAAGTAGCAGCACACAGCCGTCGCAACAACCGCGAACGCTAAAGCATACCAGACGGATATTGCAAACACCAGTTACGTGCGCAATGTAAAGAACGTCAAGCTTCCAGTCTCAGGAAGGACGTACCGCTACGTTATCAGCCCGCCCTTCGAGCAAGAGAAGCCGTACCTGCTGTTCCTCCATGGATTCCCGGAATCCTCATACAGCTGGGTCAATCAGATCGAGTGGTTCTCCAGGAACGGCTACGGAATCATAGCACCAGACTTACTGGGTTCTGGGGGCACAGATGCGCCCACTGAATTAGAGTCCTACAATCTGAAATCAATGGCTGCTGAAGTTGCTGAACTGCTTGACTGTGAAGGTCTTGAAAAGGTAGTTGCTATTGGACACGACCTGTAAGCATGAAGCCGTCCTTTTCTTCCACCCATTCAAGACTAATTTGCCTCAGCGGATCTTTGTTACTTTCCCGCTTTAACACATATCACTCCGAATATATCTCTGCTCTGTCATTTCTAGACGTCGGCTACGTCGCTCCGGGCTTCGATTTGAACCAAAGCTATGTTGAGAACTTCAACAATATCACCGAAGCTGGATTTGGATGGCCTATTTTCGGATACTGGTACTTCTTCACAAAGTCAGAGACGCCCGCGCTCATGGACGCAAGGGTAAGCTGAACGATGAACGACTTGGCACGTTCACGAGCTTACTAGAGTACAGTTGGACTCCTTTTACTCCCTGGCCTACACGTCAAACTACACGGCCCAGAAGGAAGAATTTGTCAAGGTCGGAAAGTTCCAACAATGGCTAGAAGCAGACAGACGAGCCCCGTTCGGCAATGGATTCATCACCAACTCGACCCGAGAGCAATGGAAATCTATCGTCACCGCTCAGGGAGGTCTTGAGGCTCATCTCAAATGGTACCGATCATTCGTCGAGGGAATCAACACTGCAGACGAGAAAGGTAAGCGATGCCCCTTCTCAACACATACTGTCCTTTTCACTGGAAACGGGAATCATGTCCTGATGTAAAAATACCACAGAGAACGAATCCAAACCAGGCATGGTTGAAGCGCCTCTTCTTTTCGTCGCAGCGAATTTCGACTACGTTGGTGTCCCCTCGACGCAGATGATCACCACTCTGCCGTATGCGCCCACCATGCAGTTCAGGACAGTCGATTCTGGACACTTTGTCCACATTGAAAAGGCGGATGAAGTCAACCATCATGTCCACGAATTCCTCCTGAGCCTTTAGATTTGGGAACACGTGAAGGATCCATCTGTACTGAGTAGTTTTGCCATTCCTTCGTACCCTGTTACATTCCGTACGATTGGCATCTTAGGCTCACTTCCTACTACTGTACAGATGGTAGATTGTACATTGTTTTGAGTTCGTTTGAGTATGTCGTAGTTGCAGGGGTAGATCTAAGATTTGCTCAATTGGTTTACCTTGTTAACATTGTAGCTTCTATCCCTAAGATAATAAAGAATTGTGTCCAACTTTGTATTCTTTACTAGCAGCTATAAGCTCGGCTATATAAGCTCGGACATATACTTTCCGCGCACATAGGGTTCCCGCGCACCCCACCCACGGCAGTCACACAGTATAGAGTCGTGATTCTCTCAACAACAACAATTAAATTTGCCACTGTATACACATAGAATCAAGAGTACGAGTTGCTGCCTCTGCTGCTGCTTTTTGAGCTTCTTTTTCTGGTGAAGTGCTTGCCTGTTGAGCCTGTAGAGCCGCCGCTTGGTCAATCGCAGCCTTCATACTGTCAACGTTGCTGAATTGCTCATTTAGGTTAACGTGAGTGCATAGCGAGTGACGCAGTCAAGCAAGTAACGCACCCTAACAAACTATTAGGCCTTCTATATGCAATTACTCAACACTATAACATTATACTATAGCTAATAGTATATATAATTAATTGCTAACATCTACTATATCTTTTCTATATATATGCAAGTTATGCCTTATCTTACTACAGCACTTGCAGTGCCTTTTGCCCTACTTACCTACACCTATTTAGGCCCTACTCTTATGCGTTTCCCCCTCTACCTACGCCCTAATATTGCATTAGGCTATTAAATCCTCTACCTATTCCTTTAAAAGGTTCTTACCCTTCTAGATCTGCTTTCTTTTATATAATTTGTATTTAGAAGCAGCCTTATTTAATACTTTAAGCTATAGCACTTAGGTAGCTAACAACATCTACCTATATAGTAGTATTATAGTGCCTCTCTATAGCTAATTAATAATCTCTACTATTAGAGTTAGTAATAATCCTTAGTGCTTTTAAATATAATTATAAAGCAGTATTAATTAAGACTTTATCTTATTAGTATTAGTAGGTGTCTTAGAGTTCTATTAGGTCCCCCTTAGTAGAGGTAGTGTTAGCATCTAAAGCTTAATATTAAGCTTTAATAGCACTATAAATAGGTTATTAGGCACTAAGCTAGTTGCCTTAAAGCTTAATATAATATTTGCCTATAAGAATGCCTTCTTAAAAACCTTTATAAATATTGCAATAAAGGCCTTCTTATTAATTTAGCTAATATAGTCTATTACTAAGACTCTAATCTCTTTGCTATACTCCTACTTTAAAGAGGCAAAATAGCCTATATTAAGTAGCTATAGAATATGCAATAAGTATAAGAGCATATATAGAGTAATTATCTTGTTTTCCTTATAAAGATCCTAGAAGGTAAGTAATTTATAGCTTTTATAGCTATTAATTATAAGTAGTATATAGCTACCTACCTTCTAGCCTTTAATCTACTTAATAAAGTGCCTTAACTAGGCTATACTAATATTATTTATAGTCTAGCTATTGTTACTAACTCTAATATACTATTAGGGCTTTAAATTAGGGTACTAGAACCCGTTATAGTTCTTTACTTTAAAGATAAGGTAGAGTATAATTACCTAGCCTATTATATTAATTATAGTAATAAAAGTTACTTACTTATAGTCTCCCTATTATAACCTAATAGGCTTAGTATATCTCTCTAATATAGTAACTACTTTAATATAATTTCTAATACCTATAGTAAAGCTAGTCTTATTAAAGTTATAGATATCTTTGTCTAGAATACTATACTTAGCCTTAATATTGCGTACTAGGTTAAACTAAGGCCTAATAACCTCTAGATTACTATATAAGACTCTCTAGTAATCTCTCTATTAAGTTATATATAATTTAAGTCTAGGTTTGCGTTTAACAAAGTTTAAAGCCTATTATAGGCTAATAGGCTTTGCGCTATATGCAGCACGCAGTTAATTAGCTATATCTTTAATATAATAAAGCATTAGGGTAAATCCTTAGAAATCTAGCTTCCTAATATACTATATAAGCATTCTCTACTCTATCTTCTAAAGATTTACTAATTTAGGGTAGGTATTGCGTGTTAACTGCGTCCTAGCGTGTTAGCGGCAGAGAGTTGCTTTAGAGACCCTATATACTATAGCAGAGCGTTGCATGCTTAGCTCTTAAGGTTTCTTAATTGCTTAAAGTGCAAGCTTAATTCTATCTTCTTTTAGGAGCAATTCTAGGTTAGGTAGCTAGTCTATTAAGGTTTAAAGGTAGGAAAGCCTAATAGTTTGTTAGGGTGCGTCACTCGCTTGACTGCGTCACTCGCTATGCACTTACGTTAACTTGGACTCACTTTCTTATACAGGTAATCTTATACGTATGTAGTTGATGTTTAAGCTGTTAGTTCTCAGCCTCAAGCTAGGCAGCTCTGGTGTTTGCCTCTACAATAGCCTTGCCTGCCTTGCCAAGCACTATCCAGGTGCTCCGTGAGAGAGTCTCTAACAACAACAACTGCTGTTGAGTCTTGTATAGAGCCTGTGAGCTCCAAGGTGTAGTGAATATTACTTCTAAGGCAGCTGCTGAGGCCTAGGTTAGTAGAGGAGTACTTGGCCAGCTAGTTATTTGGGATGATGAAAGTACAAGCTGTGGGTTGTATGGGCAGAGACCAGCAGCCCTCCAGCCAGCTCGGATAACTCGCTCTAAGAACCCTTCTTCTCTAGCGTTGTTGTATGATACTACAAAGCGCTCCTTCTTAATAGGGGCTGCGTCATCAAGCGCAGAGAGGGCTCGGATCTGATCACGATAGCGTGATTTCAGAACAGAGAAAGGAGCAAGATCCAGAGGCTGCAGCAGGTGGGAGGCATGAGCTGGGAGGTACAGGATATGTATCTTGTTGACCTTGCAAAGCCACATGAAATCAACAGGTGTGTGGGAGCCATGGCCGTCAAGAAGGAGGAGCCGCCAGCCACTGTTGGATGGTGAAGTATTTGGTATGAAAATACGCTGCAACCATTCATAACCAATTGAGTTTGATGTCCATCCATTCTCTGACGTTGTGTAGAGCCAATCTGGTGTGCCTTGTGCTAGAAACCACGTTGACTGTAGATGCTTGCCCTTGAAGATGACTAGGCATTGGAGCTTGATACCGGTGGCTGAGATGGTCTCAATAATTGATACCCACTCACGATCCTCTGGAGATTTGATATAAGCTTTCTTCTTTGAAGAGCTTGCAAGCACCTGGGCGTTGGTACATACTCCAAGTGCAACTCCAGTCTCATCCATATTCCACATATCTTCATACTGTATGCCTAGCTCTATTCTTGTCCGCTCAAATAGCTCAAGGAAAGCCTTGATAGTCTCGTAGTTGGCTGCTGTAGTACGTGCGCTCTCGATCGTGCGGCCGACTATAGATGCGACGCGTGGATTGCGGGTGATGAAATGGAGTACCCATAGTTGCCCAAGAGGCTGGTGGTCACCATTCATGCGGAGGAGCCGGGTGGCCATTTTTCGTACGCGTGGATGAGAGGGAGGTTGTGCGCGTGAGTCCTCATCAAGTATCCAATCTACTAGAAAGGCTTCTTGTTCTGGAGTCAATCGCTGCTGTTGTTGATGAGCTATCGCGTGTGGTTGTTGACCTTGTTGGCGACCGCGTAGTGTAGATTCAGCGATCCCGTACCACTCAGCAGCCTTACGCCGGCTCGTGAAAACACCAGAATTAAGATCTGCAATAGCACATTGTATTGCAAACTCCTTAGGATCCATATTGACTGTGTGGCGTTGAGAGTATAGAGCATCAAAAGCAGAGTAACGCGTTGTGGTGGGGTGCGCGGGAACCCTATGTGCGCGGAAAGTTGTACTTGCGGTTAAGCCTTACTTCAAGCTCTGGTTGACGCTTAACAAACGTACTGGGCCAGTTTAGGCCAAAATGGCCTAGATTACGCTCAGCGCGCAAAGAATTAGCCATAGCAGCCACATCTACTAGGTAAGGGGGAAACCCTTGCGCAGCTAGCTTAAGTATATGCTTAACAATTACCTACTCCTTATTATTGTCTAGATTCTAGGAGTTAGCTATAGAACTAGCTTATAAAGGTTGTCTAGCGCGTTAGTTACTTAGTGTGCCTTAAGGAACCCTATAGATAGCAGCAGCGCGTTGTAGAGAGAGAGTTGCGTCTTATTTAAGAGCCTAGAGTGCAAGCTGTATTTAAGCCTCCTTTAACGCGTCTAACTTGTGTTGTTAAGGAGGCATTGGTGTAGGAAGGGTAGTTTGGTGTGGTCTTGGCAAAAGTGTCCGACTCGCCCGTTGTCCGACTCGCCCGTGGGGTACGTTATGGGTTGTTTTCATAATACCTGTGCCCCACTAAGCCGGTCAAATTAGAGGCTAGGAAGTACGCCACAATAAGCCAAAGTGCAACACAGCGTTTAAAATGTAAGAAATTTGCTATAGGGATAGAGCTCTAAACGCAGAGCCTAAGGGAAGAGCTACTTAAGAGAACACCCTTCTTGAAAGGAGAGTTGTAGGGGTGCAGATATAAGGAGGCATACAGCGGGCAATATCTGCACCTAAATCTGCAGCAGTCCCTAGTCTAGCCTCTGATTTGATAAGCTTAGCATGGCACAGGTATTGAGAAAACGCCTATATCTGAGCTTAACGCCTATATCTGAGCTTAGTGTTCGGCCACACAGTAATTAGCTACCTTACCTAAAGCAGCTACATATTTTAGAGTTATAATTTCTTAACACTAATAACTAGTTACAATTGCTATTTAGTACACATAGAACTAAGTTTAAGCGCTGCTACTACTACTAACGTACCTGACGGGTGAGTCGCCCATACCGTGTCCGTGCACCAAATGCGCGGATTCATCAAATGCGCGGAATTCCTCTAACCAACGTCAAACAATATGAGGCCACTGAGCCACGTACAATATATATTATCGTGAGAAATCTTGATAGGGTGCTCTATAAGCCTATGCGACAATACTGTTCTACATAAATTAATTATATAAAGTTGCAGTTCTGCCGCTACGGGTGGTGTGGGTACGAGGTGCAGCAGGAGGCTCTGCAGCAACGATACTACTACAGGCAGCTCTATTACTACGCTTCTTGACTGTTTTTGACTGCAATTCGCTCGCAGCCTTGCGCTTGCCTTGGTTAGGCATTTGGATACTTTTTCCAGCGTTGCGATTGCGTTTTTTGGCTTCTCTAGCAGCCTTGCGTTCAGCTACTCCCTTGGCGTGATCTTCCTTCTCCTGCCTCCGCACCTCAGCAGCTGCCTCTCGAGCCACACGCCGGTCTACCTTCTCCTGCTCCTCTACTAGCTTCTTAGCAGCAGCAAGCTCCTTCTTAGAAGTTTTCTTAAGCTGCTCCTCTATATCTAGGCGTTGAACAACCTCATATCGATGCTTAGCTTCTTGACGCTTGCTTGGTGACCACATTACAGCTCCACCATGGTATTCTTGCCGTTGTTGGAGAGGCAAAGAATGGGACTTCTTTTATTGCTTCTTCTTCCGCTTTAGTGAGCTTTTAAGGCCCTGGATCTCATCGTAGAGTAGTTGATTTTGTATAGAGATGTGGTGGAGTGAGCGCAGTACTTTCTGAGTATCCTTACTGCGTCTATCATTGGCAATACCCCGTACAAGCATCTCAACTTTGAGCCAGTCTTTGCCGCTGTATACAGAAGTATTGGAATCAGCAGAAGAGGCCTCAGATTCCTCCTGTGTAAACTTATCTACTACAATACTTGGATTGAGTGGTGCTATTCCTGTAACCTTGAACCCACGGAGGACTACCTCTGCAGTGAATGTAGCTACCCAGGCCTTCCAGAATAGAGAGAAGAAGTCGCTCTTCTTCACAGGGAGCAAGCCTTGGCTCTTGTGGGTGAAGATAGTGAGGTAGTGCTTGTAACTGGATGACAGAGGCTTGAAACAGACGACATCTAATGGCTGGAGAGTGTGTGTTGAATGGGGGGGAAGTATACACAGGAGTATCTTGTGGTCGCTACAATAAGCGATAAAATCCATTGTTACGTGGGATCCGTGGCCGTCAAGGATTAGAAGGCGCCATTTTCTCCGTGCTTTCTGCTTGGTGTAGCGATCAAACACCTGTTCAAGCCAGGCAAGGCCTATATCGTTGTTGCTCCACCCAAATGGACTAGTTGTGAAGTGTACTGAGTGTTTTCTAGGGTCTATATCGTTGACCCAGCTTGATTGTACTGCTTTTCCAGAGGCAGCGTAGATGACGCCAGGGGGCAACACTCCTCCATCAGCACACACGCATGCTATCACCGTCACCCAATCGCGATTACCATCCTGGAGGGATGCTCTGACCTCGCCCTTGTCAAATTTCCTCTTGCTAAACACTCGTTTTGAGCGTCCGATGATACCAGTCATGAAGCCTTTCTCATCCATATTGTACGTGTGGGCGGCGTCCACGTTGTATTCTTTAATTTTCCATTGCAGAAGCTCAAAGTATAGTTGATATTTCTTAGCTGAATCAGCGTTGTGGCGGAGGGAGTCCATGGCTGAGTTCCATTGTGACGTGAGCTGGTCACTGTACTTGTTGATGAAGCGAGTGACCCAGCTCTCTGATACTCTCTTTTGAGCGACTCCTGAGGCAAAATTCCGTATCATATCCCGTGTAGGTGGTAAACGTTGCTCAGTAAGCTGCTCTATATACTTCACAAGGTCCTCCTCTTGTTGTGGGTTGATATTTTGCTGTTCTGCTGACACGTCTGTACGCGGGCGCGTATCGCCTTGATGTCTACGCGTCAACGTTGAGCGCACAACACCATGCTTTCTAGCGATTTTGGTATACGAGGTCTTTTCGCGAGGGCTTAATTGAGCTATCTCTGCAAGAGCTAGATTGAGCGACATGGTGGCGTTGAGCAATGTGAGTGTGAAGTTTGACGTGTTTTTGTTGATGCGCGCATTTGATGAATCCGCGCATTTGGTGCACGGACACGGTACGGCTTGTAGAACTATAGGTTCTAAGTGCGTGCGGGGATAGTAGTGGGCCATTGTAATAACTACAACACTAAGAAACAATCGTGATAGCTTAATTATAGGTAAATTAATAACTTCAAGAAACGCTGCACTGCGTACAGGCTCGTGATTCTTAATTATTGACGTTTGCTATACAAAAACGTCTGTGCGCAGGAACGCCCCGCCGGTCACGGGGTGTAGCCAACGTTTTGCAAAAAACCCATAACTTAATAGGTATTTTACTAGTAAATCGCGGGCGTTGCGTGACTCCGGGCGTTGCGCGCACAGAAACGGTAATAGGAAGTGTCAGATAGTATGATAGAAGTGTAATTTAGTGACTTGATGATGTTAATCATTATTGTTGTGTGTCGCAGGCCAAGCGCTGTCGTGAACCTGAACTCTATTACAAATCGTGCCGCGCGAGGGCCTACATATAAGCTGCGCTATGGTGCCAGAACAATAAAACAACCATCACACACACATTTCTTAATATCCCATACCTGCAGCACCGCACCCAACCGTGCGACATTGTGTCTCGTCTCAACTGTGTTCAGCTGCTTCCGAGTTCTTCGCTAGTGTGCCAAGCTAGGTGGTCCCTGCTCGATTGTACAGATCCGACCTCACCACAGCTCGTTCTATTTGACAGAAAGAAGGCAAAGAAGCGGGTGCGCGCTAATAGAGCTAAGCCAACCTAAAGGCGCTGTAGACAGTGCAACAAGACTAGACACAACGCGCGAACGTGCAAGAATACCGTGTCCGTGCACCTCACGGGCCGGGTCAGTGAGTGGGCCACCCCACCGCCTTTGGCACCACATAGGAATAAGGTTATTGAGCCACACACGATAGCTACTATCATGGGATAATTTGACTGAGTGTTCTATAAGCCTATGCAATTGTACTCTCCCATACAATCTAGTTATATAGAGTAGCTGTTCGGCCGCTGCGTGTGGTGTGGGTGCGGGGTGCGGGGTGCGGCAGGAGGCTCTGCAGCAACAACACTGCTACGCACAGCTACTGCACCACGATTCTGCTTCTTTCTAGGCGCTACGCTTTGTAAAGCCTTACGCTTACCTTGATTAGGCAGTTAGATACTTTTTCTAGCGTCGCGATTGCGTTTTTAAGCTTCTCTGGCTGCCTTGCGAGCGTCAATTTAAGCACGCTCCTTAGCACGTTGTTGGTCATGCTCTTCCTTCTCCCTCGCTCTCAACTCACGCTTCTGCTGCTGCTTTTTCTCCTTAAGTAGCTTTTAAGTCTGTTGTAGCTTACGCTAGGTAGCCTTTTCAGCTTCCACCTGTTGTTAGTAGGCCTCTATTGCAGCGTCACGTGCGTCAGCCTCGCGCTTTAATAAAGGACTCTACCACTTAGCTTCCCTATGCTGCTCAAGGTTATAGGCGTATAGTGGCAATGCTTTTTTCTTATCCTTCTTCTTCTCCTTGGCTGATAGCGCCTGTTTTACGCCTTGTAACTTATACTAAGCAAGCTCTAATTAGACGTGGAGCTAGTAAATAATCTGCTTAATTGCCCTAACCTTACCACTAGCTTTATCCTTCACTACACTACGCAACTAACTTTGCCTTTAACTAATTAGGCTTAGTAGGAGCAGCTTAAGGCTGTATTTAATCTAGAGGCGTAACAGTAATTAGAGGTGTTAGTGTTTTAAATTAATTTAGTATAACGTTGGCATTGGGTAGACAAATACCTGTAGCTGCAAAGGCTGTTAATACTAACAATTTAGTAAAAGTGTTCACCTAGGCAGGCTAGAATAGGTTGTAAAAGTCGCTCTTCTTTACAGGCACCTATCTTAGCGTCTTATAGTTGTGTAGATTAAGCTCCTAAGTATACTTTTAAGCTAGAGGCTTAAAGCAGACAACGTCTAACAGCTACAGCGTGTAGGTAGCATATAGGGGGAAGATTATAAGCAGAGTCTTATAGCAATAGCAGTAATTAATAAAGGCCTTTGTTACATAACTGCTGTAGCTGTTAATAATAAGTAGTTGCTATTGTCTCTAGGCTTTGCCCTTAGTATAGCGATTAAACACCTGCTCTAGCTATGTCAACCCTAAGTTGTTATCTATCTATCTACTAGGTGACAGAGCAAAGTAGATTTAGTGTTTATCTAGGTTAATTAAGGCCACCTAAGAGGCTTGTACGTCACGGCCAGCAGCCGCGTAGATAATACCTAGGGGGAGGTAAGATCCATTAGCACATATAGCAGCCACTAACGTTACCCACTTACAATTTCTATCGTGGAATAACTGTTTAAACTGCCTCTAGCTAAAAAGTAGCTTATCAAACACTCTCTTGCTCCTTCCTGTCACCCTAATTGCAAAGCCTTTCTTATTAATATTGTACGTGTTTTCAGGCAGTATGTTATACTCCTCTTTGTTGCGGTGTAGGAGATTAAAGTACAGACTGTACTTTACCCTAGAATTAGCCCTGTAGCAACTAGTCTCTATAGGCGTTGTCCACGTGGTGATAAGATGGTCGTGGTGACAGTAGAGGAACCGAGTAACCCAGCTATCTAAGAGCGGCCACGCACACAGAGGAGTCGCAAAATTAATAATTATCTGCCTTATAGGCATTAAGTATCTCTTTGTAAGTCCTCTAATGTACTGTATAAGCTCTGCCTTATTGCGCAGGTGTAGTAGACGTTAGGAGTTAACTGTTTCGTCCTAAGGGGCAGCTTGGCCCTAGTGTTAGCGCATCAAAGTTGTTTAAGAACAACCATGTCTTTTGGCAAGAGCCTGGTACAAAAGTTGCTCTCTAGGTCTTAAACTATCTATTTCTATAAGGGCTTCCTTCACAGGCATCGTGGCGTAGGGGGAGGGGGGGTGTAAAGCAACGTCCAAAGTTAGTAGGGTGGCCCACTCACTGACCCGGCCCGTGAGGTGCACGGACACGGTAATGTAGAAGTAGTCTCTAAGTAATATTACAGGTTGTTCTACCCTGCGCAGTCCCAAAGTGGGCTGGTAGAGGCCGTAATAGGGTGAGGTTTGGTGTAATCTTGGCAAAAGTAAGCAACTCGCCCGTTGAGTGACTCGCCCGTGGAGTACGTTAATGCTAAGTTACGTTAGTTAATTAACTACTTTTAGGAGCTGGAAAGGCTGCAAGGCAGCTATTAGTTACAGCCGAAATGTTAAATCTAGTAGGAAATCTGTTCACCATTTCCCGGGACAGCTCATCTGCATCCTTCGCACCAGCGTCGATTAGCTCCTGGAACGTTTCTATGTATTTCCTCGAGTTTTGCAAATGATATGTCCCATCCATCTCATGCGACTGCTTGTGCCCAGCAACAACAAGCTCCGGCTTCAAGTCTTCTACTTTCCTGATACTGTCAATCCAGGCAGCACGCAGCTCCCTCGTGGTGCATTCTGCAAGCATCTGGTGCACATCGCCATATACGACATCGCCGCAAACAGCTAGCTTGATATCTGGAACCCATAGAACAGTACTATCGTGAGTGTCTGACTGCCCAACTTCGACGGCCTTGAACACATGTCCTTCCAGGTAGAACTCGTTGCTGGGCCCTATAGGTGTAGCCATCTCGGTTTGTTCGGGAATTTGATCTCCGGGAAAACAAGCGGTCCAAAAGTTACTGAAAATTGGTGGGCTGATGTCTCCTTTCATGTGCTCAATGGTAGCCGCTGTAGCGATCGTCTGTACCCCGGGAAATCGTCTAACGAGGAGGGGGATGCCAAACCAGTGATCTCCATGCCCGTGGGTAATGTAAATCTTCGTTAGGCGTTTGCCAGGAATCCTCTTTTCAATCCACTCAATCAGTTTGTTAGTCTGTTCAACAGTGACTGGAGTATCCACAAGGACGGCTTCTTTCTCTCCGTGAATCAAGGTGGAGGTGATAGGTGACCAGACTCCATCCGGGATACCGTTCACTCCCTTGAATGGTGTTGGAGGAGATACATAGACGTCGGCTCGAAGGGAAGGCATTGTTTCAGTGCGAAGCTAATGCCAGGTAAATAACTTAATAGATTCGGCTCAACTTCGAGCGAATATAATCGTGAGTAAGGGCAGTTGACTACAAGGTTTGCTTTTGATACAACAAAGCCTGTATTGAGTAAATGTCTGTAGCGGATGTTGATCTGTTATGTCTAGGTTAAATAGAAAATGGAAGTTAATACGGAGAGAACGAAGAAGGCGGTAATCGAGCGGGGCAAGCAGGCACTATCGACGCTAACAAAGAGCTAAGGCTCTATTATATGTAATCAGCTTCCTTCTCTTGCACTCTGTTTTAACTCCTTCAAATGCAAAACATAATAAAAGGCGGTGTAGAGTGATTACTATTCGTCGGCTGTGCAATTCAGTGGTCTGCATCGTGATTAGTTCGACCCACAACTTTGCATCGGGGAGCTGAGTTATTAAGCTAGTCCCACATTACCTACCGCTAATTTGCACCTTCAGCTAGATTACGCAAGTATGCTAGTGTCAGATTGGATGGTGATTGTAGTGTGTTGATGATGATCTCTTAATTGTCTATGTGCAGGCGGTTTTCGTCTAGGTACTTGAGACTCTGGCGGGGGCCCCTGCACGTTTCTTGGCAGATCTATTGCCTAACCCATTCCTCCGATACCTCTCATTTGACAGCTGGTGTCATCTACAAGGGGGCACCTAGCACGAACTGATTACTAATACGTGCAATGCACTGATTGTTAAGCACTTGTTCACGTATGGATTCATTTTGAAGGAACCTGGTAGGAAGCGTTTTGCACATGTCGGCCCCATGCAGACTCCATTAGAAATCACATCGACGCACAAACTAATCACATATAGGACCTCGCATTCTCTCTACCTATTCCAGAATGTCCAGTGTTCTTATAGAGTCCCAAATATCTTGCGTGAGCGTTCCCGATGCATGTATCCGTGTCGAGCTTTAGAAATTTGCGTACACTATCTTTGACCACTAAGGTATCAAGCTCGAAGATCGTTAGCACATACCAGTTACGAGCTGCGCATACACTGTACAGTGATACTAGCAGATCGTCTGTCATTATTAAAGGAGATATTCTTGGTTTCGTACGTCTTACGTACGGCAAATCAGAAGACGGATCATGGAAGTTTGCTGGTCTCGTTCCGACGGTGTACGGGGGTAGGTATAGTAGCATTGAGGAAACAACAGGAGCTGTTGCTGCAAGAGTTGATTCAGGAGAGATCGTAGACTAATAATTCAAATCTCGTTTCCTATGTTGACACATGCTGTCACTCTCAAGTTGTAGGTCAGATTTTGGTAAGGTCTTAGCGGAACAGCAAACATGGCGGAGGTATCGCCTGAGCAACGATGTGGTAAACACATATCCCGCGAAGGAAGAGAGGTATGCTATACTTTGCACGCCATCCAGTTCACGGAAGGAGTTGCCCACATCGTCCGTCTTAGAATCAGATACTTGTTTGGATAATTGTATATTGGTACAGATCTGAAGGACAACAGAACCGTTGGACAAGATCCATAACCAGGTATGCTAAACTTACATCACGGTCTGTTGTGATCAGTTGATGCCCATTTATTGCGCTCGCTCACTTACTCACAGTGTAGGCGGCCCAAGATATCCTCCTCCACTCCTCCATAGCAATGTCAGTCGAGGACCTTCGCGGCAAATAATGCTTCTCTTCAAAATGGACGTATGAGCGACGCAAATCCATCATCTGCACCAGTCTTATACAGATATGGATGCTCATGTAATTTCGTGTGAACGCTTCGTGTGTTGCGAGGTGCCGTAACTGAGTAGATGTGGCAGATGGATACTCGATCGCGTCCTGAGCTTTGTTAGTAGCAAAGAGCACCACACCTCTCGTTGCAAGGCTACTAGCCTTTTTTCCATATCATTTGCATGTTCGCGGCTCAGAATGTAGATATTGTCCGCAACAGTCTTATGCTAAGTGGTGTCGGACGCTGCAATCAATGATACTGTACTTCAGAGTCAATAAAGGGGTACGGCCTCTATTTTTCATAGCGCTGAAAAGAGGTTTTACTTAGGAGTTGTCGGTGTTGGAGGGCGAAATTACTGAAAGCAAATATTATACCTGGGTCACAAGAATCAGTACGGAAATAGGGAAAATCCGTGAATGCTCAAGCATTAGCTTTACCTTTCGCCTCATTCAACAAAATGGAATTAGTTTCTGGGAAGCATCAAAAGAGTAGATCGTGATGATGTTAGCATTGCTCATGGCCCATCGATAGGAATGTTCCAGATGCTGACGTTTAGCTTGGGAGATACTTGGAAATCTTCATGCTTCTAGCCTGCAGAAGAACCTTCCCTGTAGGCGTAGCTTTTCTAATCTTTTCTTGGACTACTGACAGCGCTCAGCAAAGCGGCTTTTGGAAATAATTGCAGCTCCATGTGAACTGCAAAGTGTAGCTTTGGATCAGATGCACTGGACCTCTATCAGTTAATACACATATTATAGCCTCGACATCTACCAAGCAAGACCATCAAAGCGCTTTTTAATGCATTGGCGCACGATACTCGCACGATACTCGCACTCACTCTACAAAAGAACATATCCTTAGACAGGCTATCTGCAATCCAAGGCGAATCCCCCTCACGCCAGGTGATGCAGGACAGATCTTCCATAGTTCTTGAAGTGGGAACCATGACAATCCTCGCTTGCATCTCAGTTTCCAACGCTATCGTATGTGTAATGAGCTCAATCAATACACGCCCCGATGCTAAATTAGAACCCGCTGGTATACTTCCGAATTCAAGGTGAGACTCCCGTAGCTGTGAGCTGTTTCATACTAGCATACAGTGGGTAACCGGCTTACAATCCCGTACTCATGAGAATCGGGCCTTCACATCCTATATTTGCATAACTTCTTGGCGTCACCCTAAACCCGAACTATGCCGGCCGGACAGAGTTTCTGGCGGCATATTCACGGCCACAGGTGACAGGTCAATCTATGACATACGACTGCATCTTACCATTGAAGCAGGGTGTCGCTGACAAATACGTCCAGATGCAGGTGGTTGGCTGCGAGCTCAACGGCAAGAAGGTGACCCGCCCCACCAACTCAGCATCTACAAAATTCGGACAACGGGATTAGCTCACAACAAGCTGGTAGGAGGAGGTCACAAATCCAACGATGAGTATCGTACGCTCCGCTATGAGAGACATAACCAAGCCAAAGAAATACAGCCGAAGCGTCTCTTCTGTATCTAGGTATGGGAGCGAAATTTGGGGGAGGGGGGTTACTGATAGTGGGCAGTGGCTGCCAGGCTCGTCGAACGAGGGTGGAAGTTAATAGATCTCGCACAAAATTGCAAATATTACGGTAGCCATGATTTTCATCACATCCACGTTCCATCGAGGTTCAAATACACGGTGTATCTACGTTGATGAGTCTGGCTTGACATTGAGAGTTTGCTACAAAGTCATGGCTATGAGATCGCCGGTTCTGTAATCGGTACTAGGTAGGTTGCATGGATTTACCGTAAGGCTCCAAAGTCCGAAAGAGTTGTGCACAAGCCAAGCTTAAGTCCGACACACAGCTTTAGTGCGTGGACAAACTCTCTGCTAATGCTGAGCGTATGATTGAATCTACGTCCAGAAGGTCGAAGCAGACTAATCAAGCGAAAGTGGAAGGAAGGAATGAGCTTCTATGATCACTAAACCTAAAGGTCCAGTCCGCGGCTTGGATGCCTGCCACCGATTAGTCTCTTGGCGGCTTGGCCAAGGCGATCATCCAGGTTTACTGGGGATTGGGGCCATGACCGGATGCTGCGAGCTTGGATTGGCGTTCTTACCAAGACCAGTAAGGGCCTAGTGGTTACTACAGTAGGCTTAGATCTTACCCCATCAGGTTAGACACCTATACCGAAGTGACGGATTGACTTGATTGTTGACAACCGTGGTAATCAGGGCGTTACGGGCGGCGTTTGCGTGCCGTTGCTTCTAATTTGGAGCGATGTTCACTGCATTTCGTCATTGTCTCGACGGCTTTGGGCTGCGGCAAGATAGATGACAAAGCTAAGGATACGTTGCCTAGACATTACAGGCGAAAACCTATGTTCCGAATCTCGACCTACAAAACTTATGCCTGCTGCCGTAGGACGCCCGTAGGACGCCCGTAGCACGGCATCGATTGTAATCAGTGTGAGAGAGCTCGAACCTTTACAATGCAGACCTGTTGGTGGAGAGAAGCTTGATAATCACTCTCCGAGCCCAGCTCGGGGATGCGAAGTGCAATGTCTGCACTCGAGTCTTGCTATATAAGGGCATAAGAACGGGTACATCTATTTTCGCTTTCGCTATTAAGGCTCGCATTGAATAACGCATCATGCCCCGTGACGATATCGAATTCAAGACTCGAGACGGAGTCACCCTCCGGGGCTGGTTTTATACTCCCGAGACGGCGGCCCAAAGTTCGGTACCCCTTCCGTGCATTCTACTGGCTCCCGGTTTCTCTGCCGTAAAGGAGATGGGCCTCGATCGCTTTGCTCGCTACTTTGTTGGAAAATTACCTGTTTCTTGCGTCGTATACGACCAGCGGGGCTATGGTGCTAGCGACAATGGAGACGGAGAGCCACGTCAAGAGACAATACCGACACAACAAATCGATGACATGTCAGATGCTATTTCATACGCTCAGTCTCGCAAAGACATTGATGAGCAAAAGATCGCCCTATGGGGTAGCTCGTATTGCGGCGGTCATGTTTTGTCATTGGCTGCAGTAGACCGCAGAGTCAAGGCGGTCTTGAGCCAAGTTCCGTTTATCAGTGGGAGCCGTACTTTTGCCAAGAACGACCTCGAGACCAGGAACCGGTTGAATGATCTCTTCTCTCAAGGTACCAGAAGCCATTTCGAACGCATAATAATCTATGTTGGAACCCAGTCTGATACTCTCTACTAGATCGATTGGCAAGAGCAGAAGGCAAACCGCCAGTTGTAATTCCAGCTGTGTCCCCAGACGAGTCCGCATTATGTGTCATGCCCACTCGCGAGAGCTACGAATACTTTACCGACTGGGCGCAAAAGTCACCATTCAAAAACGAGGTTACTCTGAGGAGGTCCGTTCACCATACTAGCTCAAGTACGTTGCACAAAGCTGATACATTGAGGCAGCCTTGAGCTTTTGACTCGTTACGAGCCGTATGATTTAGTCCCTCGAATTTCACCTACACCACTACTTCTGACTGTGGGGTCCACGGACGATGTAACGCCAGTAGAATTTGCTTTAGATGCGTTCGATAGGGCTGGAGAACCAAAGGAACTTCATATTTTGGAGGCCTGTGGACATTTCGATTCCTACGATGGGGAGTTGTTCAATATAAACATTAAGAGGCAGGTTGATTTTTTAAAGCGCATGTTTCTAGCGTAGGCACAAAGAAGCAGTTCTAGCAATCTTAGTACGCTATGTGCATCAGAAGCTTTGACCAATGACTATACGTGCCCTTGATGTACTCTGAACTAAGTAGCCTTCTAATGCGTTCCTTATCCTCGCTGCGTTGTCTCTAAAAATTCGTAGGGCCCTTCACGTTTCCCTACAAGTTTATAGAGTTTTTAACAAATTGTCTACGTTCTGAAGACTAACATCACTACGTCTTTTTGACTAAGTGCTAAGACAGAGTTGGTTTAGTACTAGAACAACGCCTAACCAAAGGCAGCTTCTAGCCATCGAAGGGATAGTAAGAGGCTATAAGGTATATGTGTAAGCTGCTGGAGGGTCCAGTAGGTATAGCGTTTTCTTCGGGCCGAGGACAGGCCTAGCTGCAGGAAGGAGATATCGTCAGGCTCTGTAGGAGCAATGTTAGGACCTGTGTGGCCGGAAGATATGATTAATATTCCAGCCTGCTTACTTATCCAAGTGAGCATTGATACAATTTGCTTATCTTGGCCCAGTGGGCCGGAGCTTAGTCTTGAGAGTAGTGTAGTGGGGTCAGTATGGGCTTAGCAGAATAGCCGGCATATCCGTGTGGCCGGCAAATCCCCGAGGTCCGTTGAGAGTTCACTTGTTTCTAAGCTGAAGTAGTACTCTTTACCAACTTCGGCGTTATACCAAGGCCAGACCAGGGAAGATCAGGGAAGATCAACTTTAGGCGAAGCTATCATCTGCCGATCAGATCCGTCACGAAATTGAATTTCGAAGTAATCGGGTAAGTAGGCGCTGCTAGCTGACCTTGGTCTTGTATTTTCTAATCCTGACGTAAAGGTCTGTACGATATATTGACATTTGCGCCGCCTTGAACTTTGCGAGAGTATATACAAGCGATTCGGCCGTATCTTGCAAGGCAAACAGAACTGGACACGACTTTCAAAGATATCTACCTCCCTGTCCAAGCTAAGCGACTACGCAAATTGTCGCCCCGTTATGCCTATTAAGCTTTGCTACTTTGTTCGCCGAAAGCCGACTCTCTCAACACCCGAATTCCAGAAAGTGTGGCGTGAAGTGCATGGTCCCCTTGTCGCAAGCGTCCAGACTCCCCTGAATCTGGTCAAGTACACTCAGGTGCTCCGGCAGAACAACCCGCTCGATAGTCTTTTTGACGAATCTCGTTCAAAGCTTTTGTGCGATGAGCCAAAGTTTGATGTACTCGATGAGTACGTCTTTGCTGGGTCTATCAAGGACTTCATGGGAGCATATGACTCGGCTGAGGGCAAAGCTGCTTGGAAAACCTTGATAAAAAACGAGGAAGAGTATGTGGACTTCGCAAACTCCATTCTTTTCTTCACCATCGAGCATAACCAGATTGCTGCCACTCCTAGGGCCGATGTCATTGCTTCGGATTATAACCGCATTCACCGTGGGGTGGTTTTGTTTGAACCAGCTGAAGGCTACGGTCTTGCTTATTGGCAGTGCGAACATGCAGCTCTTTTGCGCAAATGGGCTGAGGTTATTGGATACTACAAATACCAGCAGAACCACCCACGAAAGCTCGACACTGCAGGAGTCCTGGAAAGACTGCAACGAGACCGTGGATGCAAGCCCTCTAGGTTCAAGATTTTTACAACATTCTGGATGTCACTCGATGTTCCGCAGGATGATGCCATGGGCAGGGCGACGGCTGAGATTCAGGCCGATGAACTAAGTGGTTTCATAACATACGGGTCCGGCATGATAATGGTTGCTAAAGAGATTATCTTTGTTGACGCTTATAGAGTCTAACTAGATACTGTAAGCCTAGGACCACACCACATGACTGCTCTGCAGGCATGACTAATACGGTCGACTACTTTCGAGCTCAGATCACACACTTGTACATACACACAACAATACACTCATACATGAGACCATATACTACTACCACGCCTTGCTTGCAACACACGAACTTCGGAAGGCGGATGCGATGGTTTTCTGGGCTGGCTCGAGCATCGATTGCAATCTCCATAAAGGGTTTAGTTTCGGGATAGAGGTTACTATTCTTGTGATTACTATTCTTCGTAATTACTAACAACGCTGCCCCTACATTTGTTGTGCGATTAGTATTAGGTATGTGCAGACTAAACGGTGGACCTTGTGAGGTCATGACGCACTTGAAGCTTAAAATAAGAATTCTCAACCTACTTCTCCTCATTACCTTGGACACTTCGCTTGTTGCGGGGAATGACCATCATCAAGTTCTGTTCTACCTAGGTTGACGCTGAGGATAGAAGTTTAGTGTAAATTAGGGATGCAAGCGTGAACTGTTGCGTGCAAGTTGCTTAGAGAGTGTTACGTTTTCTTGTTTTGGGAAACTTGTTTTGGTGCTGGTCGTGTGGGGATTGCGTTCCCAGAATCCTCAGCTTTAGATAGAGATTTATTCGGTAGATTGTAGAAAAAGGTTGCGATTAGCTTTGGCAATATGATGGCCATCCGGATAGTTACAGCTACTAAAGGACAGCTGATTTTCTGACGTGGCCGGTTACTCAATGGCCGGCCTTACATTGATCAAAACCCTGACAGACGTCGTGATTACTTATTACCCCGGGTTTATATCGTATAAAGGGAAGGCCAACTTTGAATAGGGATGCTCCATCCACGCTGATCGAATTCATCACCATCTGTACGCTATCAGGGTCGATCTTTACTACCTGTCCTTAATCTCAGAATCGCGCTGTTATAGGCTTTAATATCTGCAGCCTCGGATCTACTTGATCTATATTTCGATTTCACGCAACAATGGCACCACCTACGACATCCTCCTTTCAAATTACGACATCCTCGTTTCCGCCAGACGCTGGTTTGGAGTTTGTTGGATCCAACAACATCCGGGACGACATATACCCAGCTATCGATGTTACTAAAGTCAGCGCCCTCCGGCAGCCTGGCAAAGTTGTCTTGATCACCGGCGCAGGCCGCGGCATCGGTCGATCTATGGCCGTTCAGTATGCGCGCGCCAACGTCTCTACGATCATAATCTGTGCGCGCACTGCAACAGAGTTAGATGAAGTGGAATGCCGAATTAAAGAGGCCAACAAACGAGTCGAAGTTTGGAAAGAAGTCTTTAGCGTTACAGACCGCGCCGCGGCCCAAGATCTGGCGAAAAGAGTTGCTGATGCAAAGGGAAAACTGGATATTCTCATCAACAACGCCGGTATGTCTCGCCCCTGGAAGAACATCCATGAGATTGATCCAGATGATTACTGGCGAGTAATGGAAGTCAATGTTTATGGGCCTCTTCTACTCACCCATGCATTTTTGCCTCTGTTGGTGAACAATGCAGAAACGAACTCTACACACGTAAACATCATCAACATCACATCAATCGGCGCGGTTACGATGGGCCCTGGGGGCAGTCCGTACTCGATTTCGAAGCTGGCGCTGCAAAAGCTGGGTGAGTTTGTGGGCCTCGAGTACGGTGCAAAGGGCGTGAATGTTGTGGGCATACACCCTGGAGTAGTGGAGACAAAGGTAGCGAAGGTGGTCAAGGAGCTGAATAATCGTAGGTGACATGTCACAACAGGCGCTAGGACGAGATCGCTGACACGCACAGTTATGACTGATGGACCGGACCTTTCTGGTGGATTCGTTGTGTGGCTGAGTAGTGCAGACAGGGCGTGGTTGAATGGAAGGTAAGTTCTACACGTAGATCTTCTAAATGAGTGCTGATCATTCTGCAGATATGTTAGCGCGACTTGGGACGTTGATGCCTTAGAGAGAAAGAGGAGTGAGATCGTAGAAGGTGATAAGTTAAAGACAAAGATGGCTGTTTGAAGGAATTCTAGTAAAGACTAGAAAGACATAACAATCTACAGTAGTTCTAGTGCGTTGCTTAGAGAGCGTTGAGCTTTATTTATTAGCCTGGAGCACAAGCCATAACGTTGTTCCCAAATCGGCGATACTATTGCTGATTTACGCTGCTCCGTGCACACTCGATGCCCCTGTTGTCTGATTTGTGACCACTCAAGTTGAATAGCACCAGCCACGTCTCGCGTATGGCGTGTTGTCGCGTCGCGTCGCGCGCCCCACCATTCCCCTTGTCAGTATCAAATGCGCTATGACTTTCTCCGGAACCCAAAGACGCCAGGCTGACCTGTTCCAAAAAACTCAACTTCATGCGGGTCAGCCTTACTGCTTCCTTGTCTGCCAAACTTGCGGTGTTGCGCTACCTCTTACCGTGCTCAGGTCCATGTCGCCCAATTTCGCGTGCCGCACGCGGTTACTAAAACACAGAAACGTTCTCAAGCTTATAACTGTATCGACGCAGGATGATAAGGGGCTCCGATATGTGTACGAATCCACTACGAGGTGTATGGGGGCACTGGGAGTGTAACTGGAGAGGTATTCCCTTATTCCTATAGGTCCTGTACGAAAGGATATTCAAAAACTACTGAACTATAGAGGAGAACTGTCCTGGTCTTATACCCGCGTGTGAAGGGGTGACTAGCCACAAAGAAGGGGTGACAGTGTGGTTCAGTGCCGGGTCGGTGCTGAGTCGGATGGATATCGGGTTGCACTTCGATGTGTACTGGTTTGTTACAATAACTCAACAATGCAATCTCGCTAGAAGTTGCGCTCGAAGATACACACGCAGCAGACGTAGCTAGCAAACTTGTTTACCAAAAAAACTCCAAATTAGTATAGTATTAACCAAACAACATTATTACGCTGACACTAAGGTGTAACGTACTCTATCACCAAGCCGGTCATATCACCGAACCAGTCAAAATCTGCCAAGACCAACACAACTCCGCACTTCACAGTATGTCTTAACAACATCATGACTTATTACTTCAACACGAAGGGAGACTGCAGATTGCTCTCCAGGCCTACAATACTGGACAGTTTCAGAGCCATGGGGCTGCTGCTGCTGCATTCAACGTTAACTAACGCAGGCTCTCACGTAGGCTCTCTGAACGTGCTAACAATACTCCATTTTGACTTAACGTACGCGCAAACTGCTAGAAGCTTACTACAACTGAAGAGCAGACAATTGTCTAATATATCCTTAACCTTAATTTGCAAGGGTTTGCGCCTTAGCTATGTAAGGTGGCAGATATGGCTAATAAACTGTTAGGTGTGCGTGGTAGGGAGCCTATAGGTAAACTCTAGGCTAGAAGATTTGTAACGCGTTCAGATTAGCTTAAGATAGCATTCAACCGAGCTAAGGACAGACAGAGGATACTGCAGGAAGATCCTGAGGTAATTAACGCGTGGTTCATGCTAGTAGAGGGTACTAAGGCCAAGTATAGCATCTACAACGACGACGTGCACAACTTTAATAAGACTAGGTTCTAGATAGGCGTGATAGGGTTAATAAAGGTTGTTATAGGCGCTAAGAGACGCGCTTAACCTAAGCTTGTTTAGCTAGGCAATTAGGAGTAGGTTATAGTTATATAGAGCATCTGCGCTGCTAGATATGCAACCCTGCCTTTTATTATCTACAAAGGACGCATCCTATAAGCCTAGAACTATATTATATAACTACTCTGCAGGTATAACTAATATATCTAACTACTTTTAAGCTTAGATTACACACTTATATATACACACAATAATATACTTATATATAAGACTATATACTACTACTACGCCTTGCTTACACAAGACACTAGCTATAGCTATAAGAGGTATCCTACTAGCATAGATAACTGCTCTAACAGCTGCACTCTTCTAAGATGCTAGACTGCTACTAGTAGTAGTAGCACTAGAAGAAGCTAAACTTAGATTTGCAGTACACCTATATACTATAGATATAGACTACTCTCTTACTAAGCGCACAGAAGCATATATAATAACTAGAGGCGTAAATACTAGACAGGTCTAGTAAGTTTAGACTAAAGTATAATAGATAGCGTCCCTTCTACTAGAGATCCCTAGAGCTATACTTATAGCGCCTTACTACTTAGCTAGCTGCTAAGTAGACCTAATACTTAGTATAGATAAGAAAACTACTGCTAAAGCCTTTTATAAATAGTAGGACTAGCTCCTACTATTAGATATTACTATCTTCTTAGATAGCTCTAAATAGTATATAAAAGAAGGTAAGAAATAAGTTACCTATAGCTTTATAGTATATTAGAATAGATAGTAGCTATATAATAGCTAAGGGTTACTTAGCCCTACCTCCTATATCTTTAATGCTAAGGTAGTAGGAGTATAGAGAGGCCTCTAGTATATAATAAGACAACCTAAGCTTAATATATACTATATCTAGCTATATATTAACAGCACCTTAGTTATATAGTGCCTTAGAGGCAATGCATTCTCTACCTCCTAGTAGGCCTTCCTTAAGTGCTATAGTGCTATAGAGACGCATAATATCTCTATTAAGTAGGCCTCTAGACACCTTAGCATTAAAGGGAACAAAGTAGCAGATAGGCTAGCTAACCTAGAAGCCTAGCATCTATTACCCCTAACTAGCAAAGTAGCTATGCTAATATTCTTAGGCATTAAGATAATAGCGCGTAAGAGACTGCGCTAGACAAAGTAGACCTAGTAGTCTAATAAGAAGATTAAGCTCTTAAAATAGTATAAGAGCTAGGACTTAGACTATATATTACGCAGTAGCCTAAAGGAGCTAGACCTACTAAGGGCTATCCTAGCTAGACTACTTTCTATCTAATCTAGACATAGGGACTTTACCTAGTACTACTAAAAGTATAACTATAAAGATATAAACCCTACCTACTTATATAGGCAGGATAAGACACTAGAATACCTTGCGCTCTGCTGCAAGACTCTAGAGACTTTTAGTAGATAGCTACTTTAACTATCTTTACTACTATCTAGCTAAGCTAAGAGTCTAGCCTATACTATAATACTAGTAGGGGACCTAGATGCCTTTATAGCCTTTATTACACTTATATAATACTATACTAAGATTTGCCCCTACTAGCTCTTGCAGCCCTATAATAGTAGCACCTAGCAAAAACAGGCCTAGCATGATAGCTATAGTGCCTTCTGCCCCTTACCTCCTCCTCTTACCTCTATTCTCTACCTCCTCCCCTTACTTCTACTCCCTACTCTCTCCTCTTCTCTCTCTTAGCTTATAGATGCCTTAGAAACATAAGGGGATTACCCTAGTATATATATACTACTTAGTCTCCCTAACTAGAAGGGGAGCTATAGCTCTAAAATAGTAGCAATACCTATATAGGCAAGAAATACTTCCTAAGGTAGTAGTAACACTATAATTCTATAGCTTAGCACGTTATATATACCCTTTAGGAGGTAAGATAGTAGACTTTATCCTTATTAACTAGATATAAAATAAATACTAACTAACTAACTAACCTACCTAACGCTAATATTATACTTAATTAATTTAGAACACTAACACCTCTGCTACCTATAACACCTCTAGAGTAAGTAGGACCTTAGGCAGCTTCTTCTAAGCCTAGTTAGTTAAAGACTAAGTTACTACTAAGGAGCGCTATAAAGAATAAGGACCTTATTGCTGCTAACGCAGTTAAATAGAGAATTTACTACCTCTATATGCTTAATAAGCTTACCTAGTGTAAGCCTAGGACTATATTATATAACTGCTCTATAGGCATAATTAATATATCTAACTACTTTTAAGCTTAGATTATATACTTATATATATATATAACAATACACTTATATATAAGACTATATACTACTACTACGCCTTGCTTATACCTAGCACGAGATTTAAGGCCTTAGAGAGGCAATAGCAGCTAAGAAGAGGAGGAACAAGAAGAAGAAAGCACTGCCTCTAACAGCAGATAACCTTAATTCACAGGGTGGTGCTACCTAGTAGAGTCCCTAATTAAAGGCACGTGCTAATTAACGCTAGGCGGCAATTAAGCAGCAGCAGTTAGAGGAAGAGGCTGCGAAAACCACTAGGCGTGAAATTCAGCACCAGAATAAGCTGCTTAAGGTAAAAGAGAAGGAGGATAACTGTGTAAGGCAGCTAAGGGGGAAGGAAGAGCGCGATTGCAAGGCTGCTGAATTACGTGCTAAAATTAACGCGCGCAAGGCAGCAAAAGCAGCTTAGAAACGCGATCGCAACGCTTAAAAAAGTATACAATTGCCTAAACAGGCTAAGGGCAAGGCCTCACAGCAATCGCAGTCTAAGATAACAAAGCGACGTGCTGGTGCTACTGTGCGCAGGCCACGCGTGGCTCACGCGCGTTCTCTAACCCCCCCACCTAGATTGAGCACCAGTAGTCGCGTGATTACCGCTACAAGGAAGTTGAGATAGCTAAAATATGCGCAATAGTTGATAGATTAATCTACCAGCTTTTCTCGCAATAATCGCTTTTGTGTGAGGCTCCATACCCTCAATTCTATCTGGTTGTCAAAGGTGGTGGGGTGTGCATCACGCGTCCATGTGCATCACGCGTCCATGTGCATCACGAGTCCGTGCACGGTATCTAGACTGCCTTCTAATCACACCAGACATGGGGATTTCACCTGGTACAACCAAAAAACGCCCACAGATTTCAAATCACGCCATTTCTTTGTTTCAATCATATGATTGCATGACCTTAGTAAATCGTATCTCGAAGGCAGTAGCCAGATGCGGCACAATGCGTTCGGCTAAGCTTGCTCTGCGCTAGTGCAGATCTTAGCTGCATCTTTGCCAAGATATGGTTCGAACAGTGGTACGCATTACGCTGCCTAAACCAGCTATCATCGGGCTAGTCAGTCTTTGACATGTAAGGTAAGCCGGTTATCTATTGTTAATGAGAAATATCAAACATTTCGGAGAGTTTAGGACCCAACTGCGACCAAAAACTCGAGCTCAACCTATAGCAGGGGCACGAGCCCGTAAAATGTGCGAATGCAATTGCTGCTCGTTATTTGAACCCTAGAAGCGAGAGCAGATCGAGTTCCGCTTCACCAACAGCCGAAGCGCCAATCCCGAGATTAGTCAGCTCATTAGCTGCGCTGAATATGTCTTTTGCGCTACTTTCGAGGTGCCAACAGGGAAAATTGCGGTGCGATGGAACTTGAAGGAACTTTTGCCGTGTGTGATATCTGAACCCGAAAACTTACTACAGAAATGTCTATCTATCCTATGGCGCGCATGTGGTGCGACAGCGAATTATTGCCGCAGGAAAAAGCAGGGCTTTTCGAACATCTAGAGAACTGACACAACGTACTAAAAGCTCTCTAGAGCTGTATTCTGTCAGCCGGATTGACAACTTTGATGATCCAAAAGCCCCAAGATATCCAATCGAAGCTCGTAGGCGGTCAGGGGGATAGTATATCTGGTGGTCTTTGAACTACTACCACTAGTACACTCACCAGAAATTATGCGTTGCATTTTGCGCACGGACATCTTCGGAAGCCGCGGTCCACGCTGTGATTACTGATGATACTCACCAACAAAGCCACGAATTGTCGCTTTACTTCGGACATGTCGTCATCTTGCGATTGCTTCATCTTGCTTAGCAATCTCGCCTCCCTGTATCGTGAAGGCGAGCAGACTAGTACAAAGAGTCCATATGTCGCTTGTCAGTCGATCACCATGCCACCAGCATTAACGTTGACAAACCGAACCCTGCTACTCTTCTTCTCTATTGCAATTCTCTTTCTCCTAAGACAACCAGCCGGCATGTCAATGCAAACAGCCCTCATCGTCTCTGAAGTTGGGGGACGGGTAAATTCAACTTCAAACTGGCCCATTCCTCAACCCGGTCTCAAACAAGTCCAACTCCGTGTTACGGTCGCCGGACTCAATCCCCACGACCAAAAAGCCCGTGACGCTGGCCTTTTCATCAAGGATAATCTCCCAGCCATCCTCGGAAACGATGTTACTGGTGTCGTCTCAGTTGTTGGGCCTGAAGTCACCAAATTCAAGATCGGCGATAGGGTCGTGGCACAGTCGCGGCTTAGTGGAAATTCGCAGAGAGCGCTACAGCAGTATGCAGTCGTAGATGAGGATTGTGCGTCTAAGATTCCGCATGGTTTCAGCGATCACGATGCTGCGAGTCTACCAACCAATGCTGTGGCGGCGCTAATTGCTCTATTCGACGACAGTGGACTTGGTATTCCTGCACCGTGGAGTTCTGGCGCTGAAACATTTGATTACGCCGGAACCACATTATTAATCCTGGGTGGCGGCAGCAATTGCGGAAGATTCGGCGTGCAGCTAGCAAGATTGGCTGGTATTGGGAACATAGTGGCCGTGGGCGGCTCTAACGACGAGCTGCAGAAGTACGGCGCGAACCACGTTTTGGATCGGCACGGCGGTGTCGATGCGGTTCTTGAGCGCATACGGAACGTTGTTGGCGACGACCTGATATATGCGTTTGACGCTATTAACCTTCCTGCAGAACAGCACCTTGCTGTAAGCGCACTTTCCTTAAGTAAGAAGGGGACGCTTGCCCGCTTACGCTTTTCTGTTGGTGCCATTGACGAGTCAAAGGTTATTGGAAAGAAGCAGGCCGGTTATGAAACGCGCAATGTGCTTGGATTATCGCACGTTAAGTTTGAGACGGCCAAGCCATTTTGGGATCGGGTTGAGGGCTACCTAGAGAATCGAAGCGTAAAGCCATTGAGGTATGAGGTTGTGAATGGATTGGATGCGCAGAAAGTCAATAAGCTGTTGGATAGATACCGAGATGGACAGAAGGTCGTTCAGACTCAGTTTAGAGTGTCTGAATAGTTGGCAGAATAGATTGTTGTAGGTTGCCTGCCTATCTAGCAAGACACTGGGGTACCATGTCCTTGCGCGTGAAGCACGGATTCGCATAATGCACGCGATCACCAAAACCCGCCAATCTCCTCAACACCATAACTCAACGCCATAATGTCGATAGAGGCTGCCCTTACAGAATTGGATGCTCTAAAACCTAGCAAATGATTCTCGTATACGTCAATTGCTAAACAACACGGTGTTGTGCGACCAACGATGTCGTGCAGGCACCGAGCGATTTCCGCGCACCCCATCAGCAAGAACATCAACCAGCAATGGTTGACGTCACAACAGGAGATAGAGCTTGTAACGTACATAGAATTGCTTAGCAGCCGTCATTTGCCTCCTACACGAGAGAAAATCTGAAATTTCGCGTCGCCGATAGCTCAAACGCCTGTCAGTGAGAGCTGGGTTACGCGCTTCGTCAAGTACTCCATCCATCTTATCTCCCGTCACTTAACTAGGATGGATCGCCTCCGTCACAACGCCAATTTCCATGATTAACACAACCTCTATTTCGACCTTCCGCAGCTCAAACTCGCCGAATACTTTACTGAAAGTCGCCACATGTACAATATGGATGAGAAGGGCTTCATGATTGGGGGATCATGGAGATACATAGAGATTTGGGGTAAACAGGTGAAGTCAAGTAGGGCGAAACGAGCTCAAGCGCAGCAGGAAGATCAGACCCGATTGTAAGTAAGTGCAAAAAAGGTGCAGCAATAGCTAGTGATTGATTACAGCTCTTGCGCAACACAACGCATCATTGTGGTATTGAATAGTCACTGATTGCCTCAAAGGTGCGAATCTTTAATCCGAAAGGTCTTTGTGCCAGTGTGTCATGTTGCCGGTAGACCCAACGAAGTGATTACGTAGCTAGAAGTTTCTCGTATTGTTACAGATTCCCCACGTGATGAGTACTATGCTGAGGTCTGATTAGTATCCAGTGTGTAAGCCAGAACTGGAACAAACAGTCTGCAGTCTATTTAGAAGCTGATCGAAGACGATTTGTCAGTTTTACTAGATGATGGGCGAGCATATATGGGAAGCCATCGTTAGTGTTGGTTTGCGGCAAGATGTTCGATATCAAAAACACGATTCGCCGATGTGCATGAGCCCTCGCCTGGAGCTGAGGCTAATTTTGAGTGGATTTAGAGCGGATCTAGATCGCTAGAAACATCAAACCCTTTCCTTATGGGTTGAACTGATGAGTAATAAAAGGTAACTTAGACACAGAATGTTCGTGATTAGTGATACAGGCCACCGTTCAGCCCGGAATGAAGACCTCAAGGAACAATATTAGCCAGTGACAGAGGAGTCAAAAACATCCGTGCTAGGCACGGTGGATAGTGACGTTGTTCAGTACAGTTGAGCTTACAAATGGTGTTTGGAGCTACGAACATCAAAACACGGTAGTTTCTGCGCATCCCAAAGCATTGTCTGTCCGACACATCACTGCATCAGACACAAGATGCGACTGGATCCAAGTCACGACCGAGACAGCCTCCCAAAGCGCGCTCAGCTTCCCAGGATTGCGGGTACTCCAGAGGGCTCGGCTTGGTTCTGGGGCGATTCTGACGAACTCGGCCGCCTCAACCTGCTCACTCCTGAGCGTGTACGAAAAGCAGCACAAGAGAACATTCGGACAGGAGGTGTCGTCTCGCTTAACTTGTCTGTTGTTGAACCGTCACCTCCACTCTTTGGACGAAAACATTTTGCGCACAGTATCAAACCGATCGGCGGAGGCGCTTTCGACGATGAAACGTCTTACAATACGCAGGCAAGCAGTCAATGGGACGGATTCCGGCACTTTCGCGATCCCACGACAGAACGCTTTTACAACGGCACTGTACTTGATGAAATCATAACGGAAAAGAGCCTGGCCGAAGGTGGACCGCAGGAGTCAGAAAAGCTCGGTATTGATGCCTGGGCCCGACGCGGGATAGCCGGACGCGGTCTCCTACTGGATATATACAGCTGGTCACAATCACACGCGCACAAACGCTTTGAACCGTTCTCTAAGCACGTTATCACTGTAGCAGACTTAAAGGCATGCGCTGAATCGCAACGAGTAACGTTCCAAACGGGGGATATTCTTTTGATACGCACTGGTTGGCTTCAGCAGTACAACAGCCTTACGATCGATCAAAGGAACGATGGTGTTACATGGAACACTATGAACCACAAGTGCGCTGGCTTGGAGGCGTCAGAGGAGATGAAGGACTTTTTGCACGATTTCTACTTTGCAGCCGCTGCATCAGACAACCCTAGTCTCGAGGCTTGGCCCCCAGAGAGTTTTGCAGTAAGCTTGCACGCTTCAATGCTTCCACTCTGGGGCATGCCAATTGGAGAGTTGTGGAATCTTGAGGCCCTAAGTCAGAAGTGCCAACAGGAGAAGAGGTGGGCCTTTCTAGTGACGAGTGCACCCGCAAATGTGCCTGGTGGCGTGGCCAGTCCTCCAAACGCATTGGCCTTATTCTAGTCACGGTTATTAGGATCACTTACGGTTAATCAAGATACAGGTGACGATCAAGGACACATGCCAAAGTCAAGAGCCGCAAACCAACAGAGTAGGACTCTAATGTCGCAGTCTCAATTTAAGGTTGATTAATAATAGAGGCAGTCTTATAACGTGTTACTACACCGAGCTGCGCACTTATGCTAAGACTACACCTCATTCTACCGTTTATCTAGTGTCTCAATAATCTGATCTTGATTTGCTTTTTCGCGAGGGTAGAGTTATCCTTGCAATACAATTAATCGAATCTAATCCAACAATAAGCCAGCGACTCGCTGCAGCAATCTACAACGTACCTGAAAGCACCCTTCGTACGCGACGCGCCAAAACCACTTCACGACGCGACTCTCATCCCAACCCATCAAGGCTTACCATGACGCACAAGGTTTTGCCCCTACGCTCAACTACGTGCGTAGAATGGCCAATCAACTACTGGCTGCCCATGGTAGTAGCCAGGTTACAGAAAATTGGGAATACAGGCTCACCTGCCGGAAGCCAGAAATCAAGTCCCAGGTGACTAGACAGCGCGATCACCAGAGAGTCCTGTGCAGTGACCCAGCTGTTATTAGCCCCTGGTTCAACCCTGTACGCAACGTCAAAGCCAAGTATGGTATCCTGGACCAAGATACCTACAACTTCGACGAGACTGGCTTCCAGATAGGTGTCGGAGGGTCTGTTAAGGTAGTAACAGCGTCTGAGAGGCGTCTTAAGCCACTTGGAGTCCAGCCTGGCGACCGCGAGCGAGTAACGTTGATTGCTGCTATCAACGCCATAGGGTGGGTCATCCCACTCTTCTCTATCTTTAAAGCGAAGAACCACGACCAGGCCTGGTATCACAACCCTACATGGCAGCGAACCGACAAATTGGAGTGTCAGCACTGACCATTTTTGCCCTCTTTCGTACTAGTCCTGGATTGACTCCTCGACTACCCCTGCACTTATCTTGACTCCATAACCTCCGCTGCCGTGTCGAACCTCTCATCTGTTGCAACTGCTGCAACCACGGGGCGTAGCACTAATTTTAGTCCATGTCTCGTACGTAGAAAATTTACACAGGGAATCCTGTCAATCCTAGCTGCTGCACGTTGCAGTCTGGCCTTCCAAATCCCCTTTCTCTTCTGGCTAAGGCAGGTATGCAGGCGATTAGACCAGTATCCTCAGATTCATTAGTTGATTGCTTCGGGTCTCTTTTCGCTAGATAAGAGGCAAGGGCTTACCTTGAGATGGTCGACTCTTCTTGTTGTTAAGAGATGCTTCTAAACCATCTGTTTCTGCTTTCAACAGCTCATTCTGGTTGAAGAGATGATGAAGCTTCTGCCTTAGCGCCTTTGCCTTCTGCGCAGCCGGATCCTTCACTGATTGCCGCCAAAGCCTGTCATTTTGGCGCCAATCCTCTGGCTCTTTGAACGAGTTGGCTGCAGCTGCCTCTGGCTCGCTTGGAGTGAAGCGATGGAGGATGCTTATCCTTGACGGGCACGGCAGCCACATAACGAATGTTTTCATTGTCTACTGTGATGAGCACCAAATTCTGCTGCTTATCTTCCCTCCGCACGCTACCTATACGCTTCAACTGTTGGATTTGGTCTGCTTCAAATCGCTGGCTCAAAATGACTCAAATGAGCTCCTTGATCGTCACTACACCAGGCTCAATTAGAATCCAGTTGATAAGAGCGACTTTGTATCATCACTCTGGCCTGCCTGGAAGAGAACCTTTACCAAACCGTTAGTAAACTAAGCCTTCGAATCCACAGGCATCTACCCACCTGACCCCTTCCGCTCAGTCTCCCCAACTGGAAGGGGAGCTGTAGTTCTGAAACGGTAGCAATACCCGTGCAGGCAAGAAATGCTCTCTAAGGTAGTGTGTTCGCACTGTAATTCCATAGCTTAGCACGTCGTGTATGCCCTTCGGGAGGCGAGATGGTGGACTTCGTCCCCATCAACTAGACGTAAAATGAATACCAACCAACCAACCAACCCACCTGACCCCGACGTTATACTCGATCGATTCAGAAAACCAACGCCTCCTCCACCTGCTATGCCTCCAGGGCCTTCAGAGCTTTAGCTAGCGCCTAATTCACCTAGTTGGTTAAAGACGCAGTCGCTGTCGGAGCTTCAGCGGGCAGGTAACCACCCTGATGCCACCAATGCAGTTGACCAGGCTCTCCACCAACTCCACGTGCAACTAGAGCTCGAGAAGCACGAGAACGCAGGCCTTGAAGAGGCCTTAGCAGCTAATAAGAGGAGGGGGAGGAGGAAGAAAGTGCCGCCTCTGTCACCTAGCAATCCTAACCTACAAGGTGGTGCTATCTTGTACATTCCTCATGCGAAGCAACGTGCCGATCAACAATTAGTAGCACAAGAGCACTAGAAGTTAGAGGAAGAGACTGCAAAGAAGACTCGGAAGGAAATTTAACACCAGACTAAGCTACTCAAAGAGAACGATAAGGAGGAAGAGCGTGAGAAGCGGTTGAGGAAGCAAGAGGGACGCGCTTGTAGGGATGCTGAAAAGCGTGCTGAAATTGAGGCTCGCAAGGCAGCTAAAGTAGCTGCAAAAGCGCTTCGCGACGCTCAAAAAAATATACAATTGCCTAAACAGGCTTAAGGGCAAGACCTCACAGCAATTGCAGTCAAACACAACGAAGAGTCGTGGTGGTGCTGCCTCGCGCACTCCACGCAAGATATACGCGCGTTCCCCCAACTCGGCTGGCGAAGAGCGGTCGCGTTATTGAACCTACGAAAAGATAGTGGTAGCCAAAATGTGTGCGATTGTCAATAGACCAATTCACCAGCTTCTCTTGTGATAACCGCTCTTGTGGGTGGCTCAATAACTTCATTTCTATCGGGTGCTCATAGGTGGTGAGGTGCGCATTACGCGTTGGTGCGCATTACGAGTCTGTGCACGGTATGGCTTAGAACAATTCAAGCTTTACTGCGAATCTTGCTGAGCAACTGCTAGAACTGGCTGATATCGCCTTAGCAGATTCGAAGGTTCGATTTGAAGACTAATCATTGAACACCTCTCCGGCTGCCCTCCTTAAAAAACCTGCTACTTCTCCCGGTCGTGAGAGGTATGGACAATGGGAGGAGGCCACTCGTTCAACCGATACAGTCGTTCCCGCTTTTCTCATGTGATCCACCATGCCCTCCTGGATTGTAGCAGGGATAAGTTTGTCGTCTTCGCAGATCAAGTATGCCACAGGAATCATCCTCCATGCTGCAGGTGACCTCGTCTTTGCGTGCAACGATGCTAGTGAATGAGGTCTGAGCGCAGCAGCACTTTCCTCCGCTTCTTCGCGCGGGACGTCATGATAGATCTTGTCAATCATGGAAGCCTGGAGAGGAATGTTGCCGTCCTGTACGCAGGCATCAGCAAGACCATAGATATCTAAGGACTAGCCTTCTTACTTCGTCAATGACCCATGCATCTGGTTTTCCACCCATCGTATCGAGTAGGCTCATGCCCTCTGGGATGACAAAAGAAGATACAAAGGTCAACTTCATGACCGCTCCATTGGATCCATCGCGTTGCCTCTCATCTTTTCCAAGGCCATAGAGACCACTAGATACAGGGATTCCAGCCCAGCTGTGGGCATTTATCACAACGTCCCTGCCTCCTTGTAGCTCTTTCAGGATGGCCGTTCTTATAGCTGCAATATCTTCATCAATACCTTTTGTCGCAGGTACGCTTCCAACACTCGGCATCGGGATCGTGATACACCGGTATCCCAACGGCTTAAGGATAGCAATGACTTTGTCGAAGAAATTGGTAGTATGCCAAGCTCCAGGGCAAAATAGGAGTGTGGGCTTTGACATGGCAATTGCAGATGAATTTGCAACAATCTAGGGTGTTAAGACCAATGTAAATGTATTAGTTTCGACGCAACCTACCGATGTTAGTAAATACAAACAGTATAACGTACCCCACGGGCGAGTTAGACAACGGGCGAGTCGGACACTTTTGCTAAGACTACACTAAACCTCACCCTATTATAGCCTAAAACACTATAACCTAAGGCTGCATAAAGCAGAATAAGCTGTAATATTACTTAGAGACTACTTCTATATTATTCTTGCATGTTTGTGTGTTATGTCTAGTCTTATTACACTATCTATAGTGCCTTTAGGTTAGCTTAGCCCTATTAGTGCGCACTTGCTTCTTTGCCTTCTTTCTATTACTACGCGCCCTAAACTCCTTTAGAGTAGTTAATTACTATCTATCCTTAACTATTAGGGTCCCTTCTGCCTTAACTTGCTTTCTTTTATATAATTTATATTGCATAGTAGCCTTATTAGCTGCTTAAAGCTTAGTAATTTCCTATTGCACTAACACTAGCTTGTGCATAATAATAGCTACCCTCTTTAAGACCTTCTTAAATGCTTTAACTAAAGAGGTTAGTAAGCTATTTATATACTTCTAAATCCTTATCTTTATAAGTATTAATTATAATCTAAGTTCTAGAGTATTACTAGGGGTTTATAACTACTAGAGCTTATAGTTAAGAGTAAGTAGTAGTAATAGAGTCTATAGCTTTATATTAAGGCCTATTATAACCTATTATAGGTTAAATAGTACTAGTCTAGCACCTTAGAACTCTTCTTAGATATTGCTAGAAGTTATTATATTATTATAGGCTACTTTAAAATATAGTAGAAACTCTATCTTTATAATATAGTTAATCTAGTTATATATAAGCTTTTTAGCTTAGTACTTATATAACTTCTTTAAAAGGGCAAAACAACCTATATTAAGTAGCTGTAGGAGGTATAATAAGTATAGAGGCATATATAGGGTAATAATCTTGCTATCTTTATAGCACTACTAGAAATCTAAGGAATTATAGCTTTTATAACTATTAATAACTAGTAGATAGTAGGTTCTAATAGTATACTCCTTTATATATATATTAAAGTACTTTAACTACTCTAGACTAAGCTTATTAGTAGTCTAGCTATTATTAGAGACTATAATAATATAGTTCTAGGGCAGATCCTCCTTCTAGTACTAGTTAGATAGGTAATTGCAGGCTTTAAAGATAATAAAGGGTAGAATAGCCTACTCTTTAGCATTAATACCCTATATAACTATTATCTACTCTTAGTTGCCTAGCTAGACTATCTTTAGCCTTCTATATTATTCTAAGCCTATTATAACTACTCCTATTAATATTTAACCTATTATAAACCTAGTCTTATTAAAGTTATATATATCTTAGTTCTAGATACTATACTTAGCTTTAGTATTCTCTATAAGGCAGAACTAGCCTTTTATAATCTCTAGATTCTTATAGAGGGCTCTCTTATAGTTATACTTATAGTTAAGCCTTACTTTAAGCTCTAGTTAATGCTTAATAAATATACTAGGCTAGTTTAGGCTAATATAGCCTAGATTATGCTTAGTGTGCAAAGAATTAGCTATAGCAGCTATATCTACTAGGCAAGGGAGAAACCCTTGCATAGCTAGCTTAAGTATATACTTAATAATTACCTGCTTCTTATTATTATCTAGATTCTAGGAGTTAGCTATAGAACTAGCTTATAAAGGTTGTCTAGCGTGTTAGTTACTTAGTGTGCCTTAAGGAACTCTATAGATAGTAGCAGCGTGTTATAGAGAGAGAGTTATATCTTATTTAAGAGCCTAGAGTATAAGCTATATTTAAGCCTCCTTTAACGCGTCTAACTTATATTATTAAGGAGGCATTAGTATAGGAAGGGTAGTTTAGTATAGTCTTAGTAAAAGTGTCTAACTTGCCTATCTACTATAAGGTAACAAGAGAGGCCCTTCTTATAGCAGAATTAGCTTAATATCGCTTAGCGTTAGGGTTTCGCACTAAAATTAAGAAGGCAACTTATTAAACTTTATATACCTACCTCCAAGCGACACTCACGTTTAGGGCCCCACTCGTCTTTTCCCCACGGTTCGGCCTGCTCTCGCTTCTACTTTAGGCCTTAGCCTAGTTCCTGCCCCTTTTTACCCCTGTTTAGGCTTAGCTTAACCCCCTTATAGCACTGATAGAGATGCGCAAGAACTCTGCCTGCAGCACCTTGTAATTATCCTCGCGTGTATTTGCAAGTTGTTAAGCAGAAGGCTGTACTTTTTTAAGCCCGCCTGTTTTGCCATGCTTAGACAACCTGTGCCTACCAATTCCCGATGGACCATCTACACAACCAATCCAGCCAAGGGCGAGCCTCTCAAAAGCGCGCCCGTGTCTTCGTCTTCGACTGTTTACACCAGAGCTTCGGCAGAGAAACAGACAGATGTGCGGCCTCGCTAAACTAGAGCCTTTATCTACGCCTTTGCCCATCACTAACAATTCACAGCCAGCTAAGCAAGAGATCCCAGGCGTCATCTCGCACCTTACGCAGTTCAAGCACCTGCTGTGTGGCCCCTGCAAGAGCGTCGTCCCGTATAAAACGCTCTATCATCATCTCCGCCATCATCACAATATCCGCCACGCGTTTTGCAAGGCCATCGTCTCTAAGTACGAGAACGTGTCTGTGTCCCAGACCGATGCCGATGTCACGCCTCTCTCAGCTGGAACACCTCCGTTAGACTGCCTACCGCCGCCAGAGCTGGGATATTTCTGCCCACGCTGCGATTACACAACCGTCAATTGGGACTCGCTCCTGCACCACTTCCGAAAGACACAATGCGACAGAGGACGTAGGACCCGTGATGATCTTTCATGCTTCCTTCAGAGGTGGGTGTCTGTTCGAAAGAACGTGGGGAGAGCGTGGCGCGTAGATACCACTATACCTGTCACGCAACGCGAGACGGATGTTGCGCTTAGTTGTGACCAGTCTCTTGTCGACGATCCTGCCACCATCGCTCTCCTGCGGATGGAGGCTGAGGAAGAAGCCAGGCTCCTGCGAGAGGAGCAAGAGTCCATGGCTCTAAGCAATGAACTTGAGCATGACGAGAGGACTGACTGGCTGCGTGGCTGTGGCTGGCCGCGCTGGTTTGCCCACAAACCGCTCTATCTGATCGTTGCGACTGCGAGGTTGCCAGCCTCCGCCGGTGAAGGGGTTCGCCTCGGTACCTGGAACTGCATGGAATGGATCCACTGTGCATCTGCCGAAATGAGACTTCGAAAGCTACTGGGAGTAGTTGCTCTTGTGATGGATTGATGCGAGGAGACGCTTTAACAGAC